TTTGTGGGTTGCCTTTCTATCCTGTTACTTTGCTGAACTCATTTATTCAAACAGTTTTTGTGTGTGGAATATTTAGGGTTTTCTGCACATAAACCCATATAATCTGAAAACAGAGATCATTTTACTTCTTTCTGTCTAATGTGGATGCCTTTTCTTTCTTTTTCTTGACTAATTTCTCTGGCTAGAACGGAATTCCAATTGAACAGAAGTGGTTAAATCAGACATCCTTTTCTTGTTCCTGATCTTAGAGAAAAAGCTTTTATTATACTGACGTAGTTTCCTTCTACTCCTAGTTTGTTACGTGTCTTTATCATAAAAGGGTGATGAATTCTGTCAAATGCTTTTTCTGCGTCAATTGAGATGATCATGTGTTTTTTCCCCTTCATTTTATTGATGTGGCATATTACACTGATCAATTTTCATATGTTGAACCATGCTTGCATGGATGATCATTATGTATAATCTTTTCAATATGCTGCTGAATCCTATTTGCTAGTATTTTGTTGAAGTTTTTTGCATCAGTGTTCATAAGGTATATAGGTCTGTGGTTTTCTTGTAGTATCTTCAGAACTAGTTATGAAGTGTTCCTCCTTCTGTAATATTTTGGAAAAGTTTGAGGGGGTTGATACTAGTTCTTTAAATGGTTAGTACAATTCACCAATGAAACCATCAGCTCCAGAGCTTTTCTCTGATGGGAGATTTTTTTTCTATTAATAATTCAATCTCCTGCCAGGCCAGTGTGGCTCAGTGTATTGAATGTCGTCCCATGGACTGAGAGGTCCCAGTTCGATTCCTGATTGGGGCACATGCCCCAGTTGCAGGCTCGATCCCCAGTAGGGGGCATGCAGGAGGCAGCCGACTGATGTTTCTCTCACATTGATGTTTCTATCTCTTCCTCCCTCTCTCCAAAAGATCAATAAAAACATGTTTAAAAAATAATAATTCAATCTCCTTATTAGTTATAGGTCTATTCAGATTTTCCACCTCTCCATGAGTTAGTCTCAATAGATTTTGTATTTCTAGGAATTTGTCCATTTCATCTAAGTTATCCCATTTGTTGGCATACAATTGTTCATAGTACTCTTATAATTCTTTTTATTTCTGTAGAATCAGTGGTAATGTCCCCATATTAATTTCTGAAATTTGTAATTTGAGAATTTTTTCCTTCATCCATCTAGCTAGAGGTTTGTCAATATTTTAAATATATATATTTTTTAAATTTTAGAGAGAGAGAAAGAAACATCAAGGTGAAAGAAACATCCATCAGTTGCCTCCCGCATATGTCCTGGCTGGGCATTGAAACTGCAAGCTGGGTATGTCCCCTCATTGGGAATCGAACTCACCACCTTTTGGTGTACAGGATGACAGACCAACTGAGCCACACTGGCCAGGGCTAGAGGTTTGTCAATTTTGTTTATCTTTCTGAAGAACCAACTTTTGGGTTCATTGGTTTTCTCTATTCTAATCTTTATTTCCTTTCTTCTGCTAGCTTTGAATTTAGTTTGTCCTTTTTCTAGTTCCTTAAGTGGGAAATAGGTTGAGGTAATTCTTGTTTTTTTAATGTTTATAGCTATAAATTTCCCCCTTAGCACAGCTTTTGCTCTGTCCCGTAAGTTTGGGTATGTTATGTGGTTTTTTTTTTTCATTCATCTCTAATTGTTTTCTAATTCCCCTTGTGATTTCTTCTTTGGTCCATTGGTTGTTTAAAGGTCTGTTATTTAATTTCCATTACTTTGTTAATTTTATAGTTTTCTTTTGTTATTGGTTTCTAATTTCAGTCTGTTGTGGTCAGAAAAGATAGTTCATATGGTATCTATCTTTTCAAATCTACTGAGACTTAACTTGTGGCATAACATATGGTCTATCCTGGAAAATGTCCAATGTACACTTGAGAAGAAATGTATATTCTGTTGTCATTGGGTAGAGTTTTGTGTATATGTCTGTTATATCTAATTGGTTTATTGTTGTTTAAGTCCTCTATTTCCTTACTTATCTTATGGTTGTTCTAGCCATTATTGTGACTTTTTGAAGTCTCCAATTATTTTTGTAATTGTCTGTTTCTCCCTTCAATTCTGTCAGTTTTCCTTTGTATATTTTTATAGCTGTCATTATATATGTAAATATTTATAATTGTTATATCTTCTTTCTATATTGCACCTTTTATTAATAAATTATGTCCTGTCTCTTGCATCTCTTTTAATTTAAAGTCAACTTTGTCTGATGTCATATAGACGCCCCTGGTCTCTTTTGGTTACTATTTCCATGGAATATCATTTTCCCTCCTTTCATTTTCAATCTCTTTGTGTATCTGAATCTAAAGTGAGTCTCCTGTAGACAACATATAGTTGGATCACTTTTGAAGGACAATTTTGCCAGATATAGGATTCTTGGTTGACAGTGCTTTTCTTCTAGCATTTTAAATATATTGGCGCACTGTCTTCTGGCCTTCAAAACTTCTCATGAAAAATCTCATAATCTTATTAAGGATAATATGTATGTGAAAATTCTCTGTCAAGAATCTTTGTTTTGGGCTATTAAAAGTTTGAGTATAATGTGTCTATTTATTTGATAACATAAACTCAAGGAGAGCAGGAATTCTGCTTTGTTCACTATTTGTCAAGCATCTGGAGTGACATCTGGCACAGAGGAGTCATCAAGAAAGACTGGTTGAATGTGGGACTGGGAGCAGGAAGCCACTAAGGAGGCTATTGCAATTGCTCAAGTGAGAGTTACTAGTGACTTGGATGAGGACAGTGGCAGCAGAGATAGAAGTGGTTATAAGGGACATTATGTGTCAGTGGTTGAAACAAGTAAGTCTTAATAATTGATATTTTGATGGTAAGAAGAAAAGAATGGGAGGAGTCAAAGAAGGCTCCTGGCTTTCTGGTTTGAGTGGCTGAGTGAACAGTAAAACAATTAATGAAGGGGAATGATGGAGGTGGAGAAGGTTTATAGTTAAGACCATGAGTTCAGTATTGGGTATATCCGTAAAACACCTGAAAGAAATCCAAGTGGAGACATCAAATATATGGATAGACATATGAGCTCAGAGGAGAGGTTTGTTCCTAGACCTGCAACACAAATCTGGAAGTTGTCAGCATATAGTGGCTAACTGAAGCAATGGGCATAAACAAAGCATCTTAGGAGGAAAGCTTGGAGTGGGAAAAGATAGAGGCAAAGCCCAAAGAAGGCTGGGGATGAGCAGCCAGAGAAAAACCAGACTGAAACATCAAGGAGCCAAAGGAATAGGCTGAAAGAGCAAACAGACAATGAGGCCATAAGAGTATCCCTGGGATTTAGAAATATGGAAGTCACTGGTAACTTTTGGACTGCTAGAGAATGAAAGGAGTAGGATTCATATTGTAGTGGTTAAGGAGTGAGTGGGAGGCACTAAAGATAGCAGGTGTAGACAACTCTTTTAAGAATTCTAACTGAGCCCTGGCCAGTTTGGTTCAGCGGTTAGAGCGTCGGCCTGCAGTCCTGAGAGACCCGGGTTTGGTTCCCGCTAAGGGCACGTACCTCGGTTGCAGTTTGTCCCCCGCCCTGGTTGGTTGTGCGGGTGGCAGCCACTCGATGTGTCCCTTTCATGTCAATGTTTCTCTCTCTCTCTCTCTCCCTCCCATTCTACCTGAAAAAAAATGGAAAAATGTCCTCGGGTGAAGATAAAAAAGAAAATTCTAAGATAGGAGGAAAGAGACACTGACTGGAAAAGTAAGTGTGATCCAGGGACTACTTTCTAAAGATTAAAAAAATCCAAGTGTGTTTTCTTCTGAGCAGACAGAAGATGAGATTGGCTTTGGACAGGAAGAGAAATACTTCCTTCAGTGTAGCAGGAGGGAAAGTAGAAATAACAGGTATCGTGCAGGTCCATCTCTAGTTTAGGGTAGATTGTTTTACCTACAACTGTTTTAGTCTACAGAGATAGATGCAGCCATGTTAGTAGTTTTGGTGGTGGGAAGCTGAGTTAGTTCCCATCTGACGGCTTCTATTTTTTCTGTGCAGTTGGAAGTGAAGTCATCTGTTGAATGTTAATGGGAAGTGAAGGATGAAAGTTTGAAATAAGAGCTGTTGAATGGGAAAAGAAACATAGTAAAGAAACACAAACCGGGCCCCTCTCCGGTTTGGCTCATTGGTTAGAGTGTCAGCCCATAGACTGGAGAGTCCTGGGTTCAGTTCCCACTAGGGGCACGTACCTCGGTTGTAGTTTGTTCCTGGCCCTGGTTGGGGTCGTGTGAGTAGCGGCCACTTGATGTGTCTCTCTCACATCAATGTTTCTCTTTCCCTCCCTCCCTCCCTCCTTCCTGCTCTGTCTGAAGATAAATGCAAAAAAAAAAAAAGAAAAAGAAAGTCCTCAGGTGAGGATAAAAAAAAAAAGAAACACAGGGGCGCTGCCATTTGCAGGAAAAAGATTCAGTTATATAAACTACCTGGCACAAATATGTGCTCTATAACCAAGAAACACTATCTACCAACATTATTATTAACATTGCACATTATTACATAGTCATTGGCCAGATAGAAGAGTCCAGACTTGTAGACTAAAGGTTACAAACCACATCAGTGGGAGTTTGTGTAGGACTTGTAGCCTTTAGGAATACTAATAAAAAATGCTACAATATCATAACTCATCATTTATCATGATATATCTACTACTAGTTTATAACAGAAATTGAAGCCTCTTTGGGTAGTGGCTTCTCTCCCAATAACTAGAATAAACACATCTTAAACAACTAAAAGCCTTAAAAGTAAATATTTTATTATATAACAGAAGTAAAAGTTTTAAAAAATCTATGTCAACAAAACCAAAGCCATTCTGAGCACAATGATAAATTTTTACTATCAACACTACCTTTCACTTTTTAGAACTCTAACTGAAAACAAAGGATTACAACTGCTGTGCTGAAATAAAAACTGAAAACAAAGCTCTGAAAAACAGAAACAAAAACAAATGGTTACATGTACTACAAATAGACAGGATCAAGTCTTTGTCTATTGTGGCAGCTGAACAAAGTGTGAGTTATGAAACCATTGCTCTGATGGTGACTGAAGCAGACCAGGAAGAAGGGAGCTCACAAGCAGGATGCTCAAACTCAGGTCAGGAGTCCATCTGGTTCCAGTCAGTCTGACAAGTCACTCTGATCCAGCACGATTATCCTGTATGTGTGTTTTTTGAAAAACAAAAAGGGAGTTTCAGTTGGCATGTACATTTTTAAAAGACACAAATAACAGCCTCTTACTATTCAACTGAATTCAAGGAAAAGGGATTTTGATTTCATTACAAAAACTTTTTATTAAATTTACTGGAGTAACATTGGTTAGTAACATTTATTTTTATAATCAAGGAAGATATGCTTAACTAGATGGAGGGAATACAGAAGATGCTGCAATTTATCTGTACTCCCTCTATCTAAAACTGTCTTATGCTAACTCTACTAATTAACCGAAGTTAGTGTTTGTTTTACCTTATGCTTTAAGTATAAACATTAACATTTTAAAAATTGAGCAATTTTCTTATTTTTTTTTTTTTAATCCTCACCCGAGGACATTTTTTTTGATATTTTGTTCAGATAGAGTGGGAGGGAGAGAGAGAGAGAAACATCGACATGAAAGGGACACATCGAGTAGTTGCCACCCGCACAACCCAACCAGGGCCGGGGACAAATTGCAACTGAGATACGTGCCCTTAGCGGCAACCGAACCAGGGTCTCTGGGGACCGCAGGCCGACGCTCTAACCGCTGAGCCAAACCGGCCAGGGCGAAAAATTGAGCAATTTTCAACTCCAGTCTTTGACATTAATGTTTATTAAGATGCTGATAAAAGTTTAAAGTTTGCCCATGTTGTCTAGAAATAGTGAACTTTGACCTACAAACATCTGGTATCTCATTACCTGGATGGTTCTGACCAACTCAGTCGCTTCCAAAAACAAGGTTTCAGTTCCTCTCCACGAAATATAGGAGGAAGAAAAATACAACCTGATTACTTTCTTTTTTTAAATTATTACATATATTTTTGTTAATCCTCACCAAGGATATTTTTCCACTGATTTTTAGAGAGAGTGGAAGGGAAGGAGGGAGGGAGAGAGAGACACACATCAATTGGCTGCCTCCCACATGACTCCAGCTGGGGATCAAACCTGCAACCCAGGTATGTGCCCTTGACCGGGAATAGAACCCACAACCTTTTGTCCATGGGCCAATGCTCTAACTGCTGAGCCAAACCGGCCAGGGCAACCTGATTACTTTCTAGGCCAAAGGGTACCGGTAGTTGGAAGGCACATTAGTGCTCTCTCTCTAGTTTAGGGTGGACTGTCTTACCTAGAATCTTTCTAAAATCAGTTAATGGCAAAATAAGCTGTCGACCAAAAGAGATCCAGAATCATGAAAGTAGGGAACAGACTGACCAACCTCAGAGGGATGGAGGGTGGGAGGGGTGGGAAGAGATAAATCAAAGAACTTATATGAATATATGTAAAACCAATCTACATGGACATTAGACTGGGCAAGGCAGGAGGGGAGTGGAAGCAGGAAGGAGGGGATCAATGGGGAAAAAAGAGGAACTTCTATAATACTTTCAACAATAAGAAAATAAATAAATAAATAAATAATAAAAATAGTTAACAGGTTTCCCCTTCTAACATTCTGCAGTTCCTTGTCATAGCTATGGACACCATGATGCTAATTCATAAAGCCACTGCATTATATTCTCAGTGAATTCAATACTAGCCAAATGCTCACACACTCTGGGCTCTGTCCCAGTCAGGGTCTTGGAGGAAACAGAATGCAACCCCAGGTCCTTTATTTATTTATTTATTTAGTTAGTTAGTTAGTTAGTTCAGGTAGAGTGGGAGGGAGGGAGAGGAAGAGAGAGAGAGAGAAACATCGACGTGAAAGGGACACATCGCGTGGCTGCCACCCGCACGACCAACCAGGGCCGAGGACAAACTGCAACCGAGGCACGGGCCCTGAGCAGGAACCGAACCCGGCTATCTCTGGACCGCAGGCCAATGCTCTAACCACTGAGCAAAACCGGCCAGGGCACCCCAGGTCCTTTAATGAAGTAATTACTTAGGTGTAGTCAGAGTTAAGGAAGCAAACAAGGATGGCAAGACATCCAGTGACTAGCAGCAGTGGAGGGTGGAGGTAGGACAGGACAGTTGCTGGAACCCAGTGAGAGCTAGAACTGGGAAGAATGGGCTGTGTTTTTTGAAGGGACATCACTTTTAGGTAGAGATGAGGTGCTGAATTAGGCAGGCAGGGGAAGTAATACCTCAACTGCTCTCCTGCCCTCTGATATGCTGGTGCCTCCCACTGGCCAATAGGAAGCCAGCTGGCCAGGAAGCCTAGGGATGCAGGGTCAGCATCCTGGGGCACAAAGCGGGGCAAAGAAAGCAGGAGAATGAGAATGGTCTGGAGAAGGATGAAAGGAATACCTGATGATCTGAAAGAGTTAATGTCGCTAACTTCCTGAGTAGAAGGAACTTAAATATAGGAGGGCATCATTTGTGAACGACATCTTAGAGCTCTATCAAATAAGGTTAATTTATACCTTCCATATTACTTGTTGACTCCATTTAAATTCCACAATTTATGATTTCTTATTGGATTCTGCAGCCTCTGTGTGAGCTAAATTTAGAACTCTTTTGAAGATACTAGACAGTTAGAAGCAAAACATCTTTCCAGGCAATGAACAAGATAAGGATAATGAGACTGGCTGAAGGTTTGCTTTAGAAATGAAATTGGATGTTGTTACTGTTTTGTGATGAAGACATTGGCAATTAACAGAAATCATGGGCTGAACTAGAGGAAAAATGTGTAGGAGCATTATGTATAGTATCTAGAAAACATTTCTAAATAACTTGGATGTTCATCAAAGCCCAAGGACTCCAAGCTACACTATAAATGACTATTCACTCATACATACCTTCTTCAGAAGTCCCTGAAAAGCTCTCTGATGTTTTTTCTGGCTTCATGCCTTCTTTCTCTTTCTTCTCCTTTTCACCAACATCTTGATCCTTGGTATTTGTCTCCCTTCAATAACAATGATTCTCCGTATCAAAACATATGTACAAGGGCCAGGGGAGCAGGACTGTGCTCCAAAGGAAACATGGTAATAGCCAGCACTAATGCAGTGTTCCCTATGGGCCAGGCACTGGTTCAAGTGCTATAATGCATAGTAACTCAATCCTCATCACAACTATATAAGGTAGTTACCACTACCATCCCCATTAAGTGATACAGAAACTGAGGCACAAAGAAGTTAAATTACATGCCTCATAAGTCTTAGAACTGGGATCCAACTCAGGTAGTCTGTCTCAGACTCTGCTCTCAATCACAGCTATAATGTCCCAAAGAAAAAAAGCATTTCACTGCGGTCCTGAGAGACCCGGGTTCGGTTCCCGCTAAGGGCGCGTACCTCGGTTGCAGTTTGTCCCCGGCTCTGGTCAGTCGTGCGGGTGGCAGCCACTCGATGTGTTCCTTTCACATCGATGTTTCTCTCTGTTCCTCTCTCTCCCTCCCACTCTGCCTGAACAAAAAATGGAAAAATGTCCTCGGGTGAGGATACAAAAAAAAAAAGCATTTCATGTATGTTGTGATTGGCACCACTTTTTTTATTTTTTAAATCCTCACCCGAGGACATTTTTGCATTTATCTTGAGATAGAGCAGGAGGGAGAAAGGGAGGAAGAGAGAGAGAGAAACATCGATGTGAGAGAAACACATCGACTGGCTGCCACCCACACAACCCCAACCGGGACTGGGGACAAACTGCAACCGAGATACGTGCCCTTAGCGGGAACTAAACCTGGGACTCTGGTCTGCGGGCCGATGCTCTAACCGCTGAGCCAAACCAGCCAGGGCACAAGCACTACTTTATTACCTCACCTTCATTTACTGAAACTCTCTCTGAAGTGAAATATCTAATTAAAGTATCCAACAACTTAAGTCTACATTTGTCAAACTAGTAAGCAGAAACCATCTCTCCCACTCAACTCCAAACTCTAAAGGGAATAGACATCCTATCCCTCTGCACCTCCAGCCTCAACACAGCACTCGGCTCCCAGTTGGTGCTGCAAGATGCTGACTGAACCCAACTGGAACTCGTCAGAGACTTTTCTTCTATTTTAATTTGATGGATATTCAAAGCAAATATATAAGCAAGAGAGAAAAATAAAGGCTGGTAGGGTGAAAAGGACTTCTTACTCCTAATCTTTCATCACTAATGGAATCATAGGCTCTGGAGTCTGGAGGCCTTCAGGTTATCTTCTACCTCCATCCAAATGCCCCAGACCAGAGTCATCAGCCTGTGGTTGAGGGGGAGGAGCCATTGTTAAAGTAAGTGAGAAGGCAGCTGTTTTCTCTGCCAGGTAGCTATGGCTATGAGAAAGTTGTGTTTTACTGAATAAAAATCCCTTACTCTGCAGTTTCTAGTCACTAGCTCTGTCCTTTGGGGAAGAAGAGAGTAAGATGATTCCCTTTACTTTACAATATTTCAGGTATTTGAGGGCAGCTATCAAATTCTCCACTCCATTTGCTCTCCTCAGGCCCAGCTTCCCCAGCTCCTTTCAGCTGTTCTCATATGACATGGTTTCTAGACCTCTGACTATTCAATTGCCATTCTCTCTTCTGTTTGTGAATGTCCCTTTTAACATGTGACACCCAGAAAGGAGCCCCACACTGTGTCACACCAGCATGAGACATTATCTTGATCTGGTCAATACATTTCTGTCTGTTCATCATTAATGCTGCACTAACCTTTTTATTTTTATTTTTCATTGACCTTCTAGCAACTGCATCAAACTGAGACCTCATGAAGATTGCTCTCCATGCTTTCTTCAACAAGAATGTCTTGAATTCTCACTGTCTCAAAATGCATGCTAAATGCTGGGCATATAAAAATAAAACTGGCCGGTTTGGCTCAGTGGTTACAGTGTCAGCCCTCAGACCAAAGAGTCTCTGGTTTGATTCTTCTGGTCAAGTACACATACCTCAGTTGCGGTTTGGTCCCCAGCCCTGGTCGGGATTGTGCAGGAGGCAACCAACTGAGGTGTCTCTCTCACATTGATGTTCCCCCCACCCCCATCACACTCTATCTGAAGATAAATGAAAAAATATCCTCAGGTGGGGATTTAAAAAAATAAAATAAGACTCTTTCTGGCTCCATTCCTCTGCTCCCTCTCTCTCAAAACTAAACAAATAAATAAAAATAAGACACACTTCCTACCTTCATTGAAATTATAGTAAGATCTTCCCGTCAAAAATTCCCCATTAGGTCAGATCTCTCACATTCTCTACTTTTGTATTCAAATGCTAAGCTTCATCTTTTAGAGAAATCTAACATTTCCACCTGTAGAGACCATTTTGAATTCATAGTCTATCACCCATCACATTAGTATTCATTTTAGACTTGTGTTATCAAAAATTTGATTTTTTAAATTTAATTTAAATGACTGATGAAAATATTGAAGGTGACAGGGCCAAAATACAGCAATCTTAGAGGCCTCTCTCTATATTGATATCCACCTGTGTTAATCAGTCTCTATATGGGTGTTTGGAGGAACATGGACAGACAGGAGTCAGGCTGGCTTATCTACAGCAATGTAATATCATCACCAGACATTCATTCTCCAAAAAGTCAAGGTATTTTTTAAAAACTAAAATCTAGTCCCCCTTCCAGTGAAAGAAGAAAATGCTCCCCTGAGGGACTACAATAAACAACCTTGCAGAGCCCTTGGGGAGATCCTGTAGCTCTGTGATGTCCTCAGGTGGCTGCAGCCATCTTTCCAGGTCTTCATCGAGAGATGAGTGAGCTCTGTCCAAGGGCAAGTGAAGAGAATTGAAACAACAGTCATTTCCTGTCTCTCTTGACAAGAGACACTTTAGAGCGCAAAAGGACCTTCAAACTTGTACTTTCACTATACATATAAGAAAACAAGAGCAGGGAGCAGGAAGGAGGGGGTCATTGGGGGGAAAGGAGGACATCTGTAGTACTTTCAACAATGAAAAACAGAAAACAAGAGCTTGCTGAGATTGAGTCACCTAGATCTGATTTGAATGTGCACAAAATCCTCCTTTAACCTCTTGACAAAAAGCTTCAGCCCCCTTAGATCACTACCTTTCAAAGTCCGAAGCTAGACTGTCTTAATTCTTGATCATTAAGTCAATTTCCACCTGAGGATAGAACTGTACTCTCATTTCTCCAAGGTTTTTTGGATTAAGAAATGCATCTGAGACTAAAGGATGCAGTGTGTGTTTTCAGAAGGACTATAAAGTCCCACCCATTTGAAAAATATCTTACTCTGGCTTTGTGCCAAGAACTGAGATGACCTAGTGTCTGTGGGCATCTCTCCATGTCCAGCACAGCCAGCCCTTTTGGAAAAGGAAGGGACAACAGTAACAGTAGCTAACTTTTGATCATGTGCAAAAAGGCTTTATATTTATATAATCAAATGTAACTCTCAGCCTTCTTGAGCTACTCTTCTTTTGCCTTGAATAATAGCATAGATGTTTTGGGGAGATGCAAGGACTGGAGTTATTACATCACACATATGGTCAAAAGATTTCTAAAACTTAAAAAAATATATTTATCTTCCTCCCCTTTTGCCTCTTTCTCTTCTCTGTCTTCCCCAAAACCCTCTCCCTACTTCCTCAAAGGTCTCAGAGCTCTTGTCTCCTCCTCCACTTCCCAGACCTTCCCTTCCAGGTCTCTCTCTTTTTCTTCCTTACATAGAATAATTTTGTCCTTGAAGAGTGTGACAAAAACAGGATTCACTACCCAAAAGTTATTCATAATAATCTTCTCCCTTGCCTTCTTCTACAGCCACTATAAAGTTAAAGGCTCAAATTCCAGTCTCCCTTGTAACTGAAGATGGTCACACATCCTATTTGGCCAATAAGATGCAGTGGCCATCAGCTGGGAAGGGCTTCTGGGAAAGTTTTTGCTTTCCAAATAGAAAGGGGCAGAGTCAGCTAGAATATTCCTTTGCCCCACCCTCTTATCTCTGCCTGGTATGTGGGCAGCAGTCATCTTGCAACCAGGAGGTGATAATAAAGGCCAATATGCTATGCTGTTGCTATGGGTAGCAGACCGGGTAGATCAAAAGAGCCTAAGTCTCTGGGGTATCTTTGAGCTGCTACACCAGCTATGCCTTGCCAACCTATGGGCCTCTTGTCATGTGAAACAAACTCATTTAAGCATGATAGTGGAATTTTCTATCACTGCAGCTGAAAAAACCCTGTAGGGCTACCTTAAGGATCCACAGTACCAGGATTAGGATGAAGCAAGTGGTACAACAGCAGATTCAGATCCTATCTTTCTTTAAAATTCAGACATTTTATTCATCATGGATTCTTTTGTATTAATTTTGATGTTTTAAAATACTGCATTAAGCCCTGGCCAGTTTTGCTCAGTGGTTAGTGCGTTGGCCCGCGGACTGGAGAGTCCTGGGTTCAGTTCCCACTAGGGGCATGTACCTCGGTTGCAGTTTGTCCCCCGTCCTGGTTGGGGTTGTGTGGGTGGCAACCACTCGATGTGTCTCTCTCATATTGATGTTTCTCTCTCTTCCTCCTTCTCTCCCTCCCGCTCTATCTGAAGATAAATGAAAAAAAAATGTCCTCAGGTGAGGATATAAAAATAAATAAATAAAAATTAAAAATAAAATAAAGCCCTGGCTGGTTTGACTCAGCAGTTAGAACATCGGCCTGTGGTCCAGAGAGGCCCAGGTTCGGTTCCCACTAGGGGCATGTGCCTCGGTTGCAGTTTGCTCCGGCCCTGGTTAGGTCGTGCAGGTGGCAACCACTTGATGTGTCCCTTTCACATCGATGTTTCTCTCTCTCTCTCTCTCTCTCTCTCTCTCTCTCTCTCTTCCTCTCTCTCCCTCCCACTCCATCTGAACAAAAAATGGAAAAATGTCCTCAGGTGAGGATAAAAAAATAAAAAATAAATAAAATATTGCATTAAGCCCGGTCAGTGTGGCTCAGTGGATTGAGTATCGTCCCATGGACTGAGAGGTCCCAGTTGGATTCCCGGTCAGGGCACATGCCTGGGTTGTGGGCTTGATCCCCAGTAGGGGGCATGCAAAAGGCAGCTGATCAATGTTTCTATCTCTCTCTCCCTTCCTCTCGCTCTAAAAAATCAATTTAAAAAACCATATTTTAAAAAAATATTTCATTAAAATAGAACTTATCTTTTTTTTTTTTTTTTTTTTATCCTCACCCGAGGATATTTTTCCATTTTTTGTACAGATAGAGCGGGAGGGAGAGAGAGGAAGGGAGAGAGAGAGAGAAACATCGATGTGAAGGGACACATCGAGTGGCTGCCACCCGCACGACCAACCAGGGCCGGGGACAAACTGCAACCGAGGTACGCGCCCTTAGCGGGAACCGAACCCGGGTCTCTCCGGACCGCAGGCCGACGCTCTAACCGCTGAGCCATACTGGCCAGGGCGAACTTATCTTGACTCCTGCATTTTTGGGAGTCTCCTTCAATTTTTGTGCCCAAGGAGTATCTTATTCGCCTTGCCCTGAATGACAGGACAAGGCAAGAGAGGTCAGGAGGCAAAAGAGATGAGCTAAAGTGGTTTACGTTACAGCACAGGTCAAAGGAGAGCTCTGAATCAGGACGAGAATCAGGTTTCTTGAGGCAACCTTGTGTTTTTAGACTGAATTGTCTAGATGACTGCCCCCGTTTTCTCTTACTTGGCTAGAAAGATCTAACAATTCTCTTCCAACGCCCTTAACTAAAATGTTCTGAAAGAAGCTGAAACCTGTGTTTGCCTCACAAAATGAAGTAAAAGAAAAAAAAAAAACTTGACAAGAAAAAAAAAACAACAACACACACACATACCAAATAGCTCTATTTAAAAATGGGCAAAGGAGTCGACTAGATATTTCCCCAAAGATATACAAATGGATATCAAACACATGAAAAGATCCTCAACATCACTAATGATAAGGAAAATGCAAAACAAAACCACAATGAGATATCACTTCATATCCATTTAGAGGGCTCCTATAAAAACAAAACAGAAAATAACAAGTATTGGCAAGAATGTGAAGAAACTGAAACCCTTGTGCACTGTTAGTGAGAATATAAAATGGTCCAGCTGCTGTGGAAACAGTCTGGTATTTCCTCAAAAAAATAAAAATAGATTTGTCATAGGATCCAGCAATACCACTTAGGAGGTATATATCCAAAAGAATTAAAAGCAGGGTGCCTTAAAGAGATATTTGTATACCTATGTTCATAGCAGCATTATTCACAATAGTCAAAAGGTAGAAGCAACCCAGTGTCCAGTAACAAATGAAAGAATAAACAAAATATGATACACACACACACACACACACACAAAAACATACAATGGAATTAAGCCCTAAAAAGTAAGAAAATTCTGACACGTGTGACATGAATAGACCTTGAGAACATTATGCTAAGTGAAATAAGTCAGTTACAAAAAGACAAATACTGTATGATTTCACTTATATGAGGTTATCAACAGTAGTGAAACTCATAGAAACAGAAAGTAGAATGGTGGTTGCCAGGAACTGAGGAGGGGACACGGGGAATTGTTTGATGGGTATAGAGTTTCAGTTGTGCAAGATGAAAAGTTCTGGAGATCGGTTGCACAACACTATGAATATAATTAACGCCAGTGAACTGCACACTTAAAAATTTTGTTATGTGTATTTTATGACAACTAAATTTTTTTTTAACCTTTTAGGAATAGGAGCTATTATGATAGTATGAAAACAGACCATTTTCTCCCTTGTTATTGGTCAAAAACAGAATAAAAATGAATACAAATACAGTATTTTAAATCCTTTCAAAATCCAGCTTTTTCTGTTACCTCTCTGTGTCCTCTTCTAGATGCTGAGTTTCTTGGGTCCAAAGCATACTGCTATCTTCTTTTATACTTTTAGTTTCTTGTTTTTCTAAATAACTTTGATCTAAAAACAATGGAAAAACTTCACTTTATTTGAACAACAACAAAAAAAAAAACAATAAAAAGGATTGCAATAGAGTGCAAAAAACTTAGGGCTAATTATCGGCCCCGTAATGTACAACACAGTGGTTCCCCTCTTCCCAGGAGAGCAGGGGCCAGGTGGCAGTCTGCAGGGTGCCTGTATTCACAGCAGCTGCTTTTGGGGTCTTGGGAGCTCTTCATTGCCAAGTGAAGCTACAGGAAATCATGCCTGTGCCAGGGCTCAAGAGACAGAGAAAGCAAAGGAAAGAAAGGGCACATAAAAGAGGAAGGAAGACACATTGAAAACAAATTGCACAGATTTACTCAAGGACCACCCTGTTCCCACTTGTTAAGATGTTTCTAGGATGGAGTCCCAAGGAAATATTTGGGTGGGGAAGGGTAGTATCCTTTAACATATGCTAGGCATTTTACACATGTTATCTCATTCCATCCTGCCAGCAGTTCTATGAAGGGAAAGGAACTAACATTTGTTCAGTACTTTACAATGTATCAGGCACTGTATATGGAGCTATTATGTAATCATGAGATAGGAATTATCCTCATTTTACAGATGAGAATGACTGAAGTTGAGACATTAAATAAACAGTATGCCATACAACAGCAGTGGAGTCAAAATCAAGGTGGAGTTATATCTGACCTCAAGGTCTACACTCCCCAAAATGTACCACTGTGCTGCCAAGGGCAGCATCACAGCAAGAACCTGATGAGAAGATCTGGTTAGCTGGCTTACCGTTTGCAGTGATGCCCAGAGGACTTGCTGTATCCTCACCCAACACTGTGGATGAGGCCTGCTGCTGCTTCAAGTGCTCTGTCCAATACAAAAGCAGGAGGCAACTTATTCCTTCCTTTGCATGTCACACCACTCTCTAGGGTAGTGGTTCTCAAAGGGTGGTCCTCAGAACTTGTTAGTTATGCAAATTCTCAGGTCTCACCCCAGACCTACTGAATCAGAAACCCTGGGGGTGGGGTCCAGCAATCTGTGGTTTAACCAGACCTCCAGGTGATTCTGATGCCTGATAAAGTTTGGAAACCACTGCTTGCGGACATTGAACCCCATACAACAATAAAAATAAAATTTCCTGGCCGGTGTGGCTCAATGGTTGAGCATCAACCCATGCACCAAGAGGTTGCCGTTCGATTCCCGGTCAGGGCACATGCCCACGTTGTGGGCCAAATTCCCAGGGGGGGCATGCAGGAGGCGGCCAATCAATGTTCTTGCTCATTGATATTTCTGTCTCTCTCTCCTCACTCTAAAATCAATAAACAAAAAAATAAATAAATAAAGCTGATGATGATAGGTAAGACTTGTGGAGCCCTATACGGCAGGTACAGTTTCTAACTTACATTAAGTCAAGATCAATGTTCGCAGTTAATTCTCCCAACAACCCTATGAGATTGATCACATTATTGTTATTCCTGTTTAACAGATGTGGAAATGAAAGTAAAGAAAGGTTAAGGAGGAATTTACTTAGAATCACAGAGAGAGAAATAGAAATAGGATTTAAATCCAGGCAGTCTAGCTCTAAGGTTTATGCTCTTAATCTCCATTTTCTAATCTCTCAAACAGTTTGTAACAGCATCAGAGCAACCCATAATTTCCCTCATCTCTACTGGACTATATTTCATATTTTTACCTAGTTTATGGGAAAGACAGAAAGCAAAGAGTATTTGTAATTTCCAGTTTTTAAGGAATTGCTCACTACACCAAGACAAGCATCTGCTAAACTCAGCACACTGCCTTGTGTTTGTCAGGTGCTTGTGTCCTCCAAGTGCTCCCAGAACAGAGCAGAGATAACTGAGAGGCAGCACAGACAGGAGCCCTGGGCTCTCACCAGCATGGTTCTGCTGTGTGTAGACACAGGTCTCTCCCCTTCTGCAGGTCAGGATATAGGTCCTACCTGGTAGCTCCTGGGCATCAAGGGGGCCCATAAGGTGACTTAATATAATTTGAAATAAAAAGCCCATTTTATCCTTGTTAAAAGTAGTCCCTTGCTGCCCGGCCAGTGTGACTCAGTGGTTGAGCATTGACCCATGCACCAAAAGGTCACCAGTTCGATTCCCAGTCAGGGCACATGCCCAGTTTATGGTTCCAATCCCCAGTATGGGGTGTGCAGGAGGCGGCCAACTGATGTTCTCTCTCATCAATGTTTCTATCTCTTTCTCCCTCTTCCTTCCTCTCTCTCTAAAACTAATTTAAAAAAATACATACATACTTACATATATATATATATGTATATATTTTTTTCTTATAAATCCTTACCCAAGGATATTTTTCTTTTTCTTTTCATCCTCACCGAGGACTTTTTTTTTTTTGCATTTATTATCAGATAGAGCGGGAGGGAGAGAAGGGGGAAGGGAGAGAGAGAAACATTGATGTGAGAAAGACACATTGACCAGCTGCCACCCACACGACCCCAACCGGGGCCAGGGACAAACTGCAAGCGAGGTATGTGCCCTTAGTGGAAACCGAACCCGGGACTCTCCAGTCCGCGGGCCAATGCTCTAACCGCTGAGCCAAACTGGCCAGGGCATACATATTTGTCTATGTATCTTCAAATAGAGTAGGAGGAAGGGAGAGAGAGAGAGAAAGAAACAAAGAAAGAGAAACATCGATGTGAGAAAGTCACAACTGGCTGCTTCCTGCAACCAAAGTAGGTGCCCTTGACCAGAATCGAACCCACGACTCATTGGTCCGTGGGCCAATGTTCTAACCATTGAGCAAAAACAGCTAGGGCAATAAGAACATATTTATAAAAAAGAAAAAGAAACAAACAACCAATTGATGTGTCTCTCTTATATCGATGTTTCTCTCTCTCTCCTTCCCTTCTTTCCACTCTCTCTAAAATTCAATGGAAAAAAATACCCTCGGATGAGGATTAACAATAAAAAGAGCAACTGGAGAGGACGACTTTGCAAGGACTCCAGAAGACAAAAGTTAGCCCTGAATGGTTTGGCTCAGCGGTTAGAGCGTCAGCCTGCGGTCCACAGAGACCCAGGTTCGGTTCCCGCTAAGGGCATGTACCTTGGCTACAGTTTGTCCCCGGCCCTGGTTGGGTTGTGTGGGTGGCAGCCACTCGATGTGTCCCTTTCACATCGATGTTTCTCTCTCTTCCTCTCTCTCCTTCCCGCTCTATCTGAATAAAAAATGGAAAAATGTCCTCGGGTGAGGATAAAAAAATAAAAATAAAAAAAAGTTAGAGATGGGGCCCTGAGAGAATGACCCCCAAATCCTATATGACCTATATGACCCTGTGGCATCAGGGGAGAGATGTAGTAAGGCAAGAAGGGCCCATGACTACAAACAAAGAATCTAAGGAAGGTTCTGGCAGCTCTGTCTGGCTCTACCCAAGTTCATCAGGCCAATGGGACTGGGGCTTGTGATAGCATAGACAGTAGCTTTCTGTTGAATCAGACCAGGTAAGTCCTCATCCACCTTCCTTTTCCTGAAAAGTCACAAAGCCTCTGAGACCCTGAAAACCAAGAAGTGCCCCTCAGGAAGTTCTCTAGAGGTCCCATACCAAGAACTGAACCATCAGAGGTCTGACAAGAAGTGTCCTCTGAGGGTGAGAGGCTGGTGGGCCATGCTGTCAAAAGAAAAGAACAGTCAGGTCTTTTCTGGGGAAGTAAACCACCTGCCCCAAATGTCTCTGTACCATTTACTTCCAGCATTAATGCGGCTAGGACAGGCCAGCCAATAAGCTACAACTAAACTGAGCTGGTATTGCTCAGTCTCTGCCTGAAATGGAAAATTCTGGTCACATTAGGTCTTGTGTCACTGACTCTTCTGCCCTCAGGAAAGTGATTCATCCATAACGCCAATACCTTCAATACCTCCTGCTAATGCCAAAACTAAAAGAACAGGGTGTCTTGTCCTCAGTAGCCAGACATCAGGCCTCCAAGGTACGGCTGTTTTGGTTTGAAAAGGAGATAATTCTTTTAATAACAAGTTCATCGTAATAAACCACTTGAATGTTGTTATTTCCTCTTAGAATCATTACCATGAACCCTCTAAGTAACAAAATGACAATAGACACAGGCTAATTGTCCTGGCCAGGTTTCAGTAATGATCTAAGGTCCATTTTATTGGAAAACTACCCCGTTCTGAATTCTGTACAATCAGACCTTCATAGGGCCCTTCCGCCCTAGTGCCCACACCTGAGGTAAAGAACCATGTTGTGGTCAGTGACCACAGCTCACCAGGCCACCGAGAACATTCTGTATGGAACATCCCTTACCAATTTCATCAAGTAGTTCCTGAGATGGAGGTGGTAGTTCATCAATGTGACGCAGCGAGATGGCTTCTACTAGTTCTTTAAAAAGATGAAAGGGAAATGCTTAACACTCTCTTGGACCTGAAGTGGACTTTCTAGGCTCCCACATGGATCTGACTTAGGATTTTTCAATGATGAAACAAACTAAGGCAGCAAGAAGGCCTCTTACAATAACAGTCCTAGTTGAGACCTCCAAATATGTGAATGATTTTACTCCCCCTTTTGCTCCAAACCCTTTTCTACATCACCCCTACCCCAGTACTGCTTAATCTGTGCTCCCCACCCCCCCAAGTATATTGGGGGTAAGATGAAGTACAAATTTTTATGAGAGGCTGGGGGCCCAATCTGGAACAGGGCTGCTGAAGAGGCTCTGGACCAGTCAAAATGAACAAAACACAGCCCTGGCCAGTTTGGCTCAGCGGTTAGAGTGTCAGCCTGCGGTCCAGAGAGACCCGGGTTCAGTTCCCGCTAAAAGCACGTACCTTGGCTGCAGTTTGTCCCTGGCCCTGGCTGGTCGTGTGGGTGGCAGCCACTCAATGTGTCCCTTTCACGTCAATGTTTCTCTCTCTCTCTCTCTCTCCCTCCCTCCCTCCCTCCCTCCCTTCTTCCCACTCTATCTGAACAAAAAGTGGAAAAATGCCCTCGGGTGAGGATAAAAACAAGAACAAAACACAAAGTAGAAGGCCTCTCTATATAGATTATGAGACCAGGGCACATAGGAGCAACCATACTTTGGGCCTTTCTCTAAGTGCTCAATTATAACATTAACCAAAACCCCTCAGCATAATCCACAAGATCCTTATCCCCCAGAGGGAGATTCTAAGATGAAAGATATTAAAATTAATGTGACAATGGTAACATGCCCAAGAGCTGTTAACATGCTCACACCCTTTGCTTTGGAACTGTCTGCTAAGAAGCAGCTACAGATTTTTGTACAATTCTTCAACATAAGGGTATGATTAAACAGCATATGTAGAATGGATTATTGTGCAGCCATTACACATATTTACAAATATTTTTTACTGACAAGGAGAAATCCTCAAAATGTGCAGGCCAGAGCTGATGTTCAATATAATCTCAACTATGCTAAAAAATGTTTTGTTTTGTTTTTAATATTTCTAAAAATATAAAAAAGGTATGTACCAAAATAGTATAAGAGATTAAAATATGGTAGTAGAATTCAATGCTTTTCTTTTTCAAGTTCTTCTTTATTCTCCAAGTTTTCTTTTTCTTTTTTTAAACATTTTTATTTTTTTAGAGAGAGAGAGAGAGAGAGAAACATCAATGTGAGAAAAACACTGATTAGCTGCCTCCTGCATGCCCCCTATTGGGGATCAAGCCTGCAACCTGAGCATGTGCCCTGACTGGGAATCAAACCGGGACCTCTCAGTCCATGGGAGGACACTCAGTCCACTGAGCCACACCAGCTAGGCTCTCCAAGTTTTCTATAATGAGTGTTTTACTTTTATAATCAGAAGGAAATAGTATTTTTGTTTAAATCGAATGTAGCATCAAAGATGAGACTAAGGCTCCCTTAAATTAGATTTCTATTATGCACTTATATTTTGATATTAAACACAGGGTACCTTTTGGCAGGCTCCTTTTCTGGGTGGCATGGGATGATGTGTCAAGTACCTTAGCACTGCTGGAGGAACCAGCCCCAGTAAATGTAGATGATCTTTTCTGTGAGACATAAATATGGCAATTAACACATATATTTGGCTAAAAAGGTCTGTACAGCTCAGTCATTTCCAACATTAAGGCTGTATATCGTTGATGGAAGAAGCTAGTTGTTAGCTGACTGAGTAAAATGTCACTTCCTCCAGGAAGCCTTCTCACTCCTTTTTGCCTCTGCAGCACTCAGTACTTACCTCTGTTACCAGTCTTTGTCATTAGGCGGTGAGCTCCTTCAGGGCAGGAACTATACCTTTTATATTCACATTTGGATGCCTAGCAGAGGGCCTGGCACTTAGAACGTGCCCAATTAACAGTTTGATGCATGAAAGCATAAAATTCTTTATTGCCCTACTCCGGAGTGAGACCTTTTGTGAGTCAAATGCCCAAAAAAGGGAATAGTTGGTTTTTCACTGAAGGCCAAAGCCAGTAATCAGTCTGCTATAGAATAGTCGGTCACCAGGTTCTTTTTGTTTTGTTTTTCAGTAAATAAACACAACTGTTTTATTACTCATGATTCTGGGAGTCCGAGTTTCAGGCAGTGCTCCGTAGAAACTGCTCCATATGATGTCAGTTGGGGTGGCAATGGTTTGGAGCAAAGAGGGTTTCATTCACATGTCCAAGGCCTAGTGGTGGCAGGACAGGCAAAGTTACATTTCAAAGGAATGAGAGACAGGTTCTCAATGCATAGTACTAAGGAAGGAACTTGTAGTTTTCTTGAAGAGACAACACATGTGAAATATGAGGGAGAGAGAAGAAGAAAAAGAACAACAGGGGGAGGGGGAGGAGAGAAGAAGGTAGAATACAACTGAGTGTTTTTACTACAGACTATTTGTTCAGGACTTCAGAGAAGACTGAATATCAATAAAAATTCTTAGTGAACTAACCAGTGGAGGCTTCAAGGAGGAGGCAGAACTCAAGCCTCCTCAACTGGGTAGGATACATTTAGAGAGAATGAACAATACGGGTGAAGGTAGCATCATAAGCTATGGCAGAGGTTGGCTGTTAGAGAAATTACCAAACATTATCTCTAAAGGGGAAAAAAGGCACAAAAACCCAGGGTCTATCTTACAGTACAGACTCAGAGAGGAGCCCCATGGAAGCATGGAGAGGATCCAGCTTACTTCTCACTCTTTTTGTAAGATGGATTTGGAGAAATCGTGGCACTCTGGGTCACTGAGGCCTTTGGGATGACTCCATGGGAGTGTTACGCAGAGCTGGTATACTTACATGATCAGTCAGTCTTGAAGGGAGAGTTTCAGAGGAAGTAAAAATGGAATCTAGGCTCTTTGCTTTCTCTTGGACAGTTGTAAATTTATCAGACAAAGTTGGAGTAAATTCACGGCAGCTCCAGCATGAGGTAGAGCTTGTTGTAACCTGAAATGTGATGCTTTCAAGGCAGTCATTATAGCGACTGTCAGTTGAAGAAACTGACTCTGTTATAGAAAAGAGGGCAGTTAGTGTCTGAATCCTTTGTATTATTTAAAAACAAAAACCGAAAACCCCACACAACTCTATACCTAGGATTCTCCAAATTGTTAATAACTAAAATAATCACTGATTTGAGACACAGCTCTTCAAAGAATAAAAAAAAGACAATCTCCAAACTTAGTCATCAAAATAAAGGGAGGTTATTTGAAGTACAAATATATTGGAACTAAGGACACCAGAGAGAGACTATTGATGCTGGCTATATATAGGTGCAGGACTCAGAACTATGCATGTTTAAGCACTAGGGATTGTTTGAAGTTACAAACTCTAAACAATGCAATGTATCTGCACTAAATTCAATAGTGCTAGCCCAGCTGGTGTGGCTCAGTGGTTGAGTGTGGACCCATGCATGAAGAGGTAGCTGGTTTCATTCCCGGTTAGGGCACTTGCCTAGGTTGTGGGCCCTATCCCCAGTGGGGGGCAAGCAGGAGGCAGCCAATTGATGTTCTCTCTCATTGACGTTCCTCTCTCTCCCTCTCCCTTCCTCTCTCTCTCTAAAATCAATAAAGAAAAAAATAAAAATAAAAACAGTGCTCAGGGTACAGAGTAGTCTTTGCATTTGCACATCTCTACCGCTAAAGTAAAATACCTCCTGTAGCTGCTTAATAACTACCAGCAACACCCCTCCCTGGCCTCCCATGGGTTTATTCCCTTCAGCTTTGGCCCTAAAGAAACACCTCTGCACTGTGAGAAAACACCTGCCAGGTCTGCTCCCAAGGTCTGGCTTCCCAGAGTCAATAAGGCAAGGACTGTCACTCCTTCTCCAAAAATGCTTCTCTTCCCTGAGAGTGATTACCTGGGCTGAGCGGAGTGCTGACACTAGTAGGTACATGGTTTATTTTGTGTGTTTTGCATGAGACTTCCTTAAAAAAACCATCTTGTTCATAGGAGATACTAGACAGATCTTGAATGTCTGTCAATGACCTAAAGAATTAAAAGCACACAAAAATTGGGAGATGTTTGGGGGGAAAAAAATCAAACAATATATTCCCAAGAGGTACTTTTTAAGGATGCTCTGAACAAAAATCTTTATTTGGCAACAGGCCAGAATTAGAGAGTATCTTAGAATATCCTATAGATCTTAAAGAGAATACTAGAGAATATCTTACCAAACGATACTAACTTTAAACATGTCTCAGCAGCTAAAAATAAACTATGTCCATAAAGTATATTTGTGTGAAAACCAGATTTAATCTGTTTACATAGATATGTTGCTACCTGAAGTAGAAACATAAAGTTGTTGTTATTATCATCACTATATTTCCTTGATTATAAGATGCTAGTAATTTAGATCACATCTTCCTGGTGAAAGAAGAAACAGGCTTACACAAAATGGGAAGAACGTAGATTCTTACAAACAAGGAAATACTATTCCCCCAAAACCAAAACTTTACACAGTATTCTAGGCAACCCTTCCGTAGCCATACATGTCTCTCTCTTTCAGTTCCTTCGGTGATTCCTTTAACGTCTCTTCTTGTTCACTTTCAGGACTGTAAGAGAGAAAGTGAGAAAATTATATGAATTGCCTGTTAGCTGAGTGCACTAAATTCGTACAAAGGACCAGTGTGAGAAGCAGCAGGAAGGGCATTAAGCTCAGAAGCAGGAAGTGTGGGTTCTGGTCCTGGCTCTGCTACCAACTAGCCACATGTTCTCAGGCATGGCCAGGCCTTGCTCTGCACCTTAGTTTCCTCTCAGAGACTAAATAAATACTCTGAAAGGGTCGGCCTATCTGAAATCAGCTGATGATGCTATATGACAGTAAGTTCCAGAAGAAATCAATGGAGCACAGGAACTTTACTGGGGATGGTAGCTGGAACAAGGAGCACAGTCATGGGGCCGGACCATGTGAGACAGCTTCCAGGCACAAAGTATTAAGTGAAGCTTGTGCCAAAAAAATGGCCAGAAAAGAATACTGAAGATAAACTTGACCTGTTTCTACTTGAACCAGTATTTAGGTTTCAATTTCAATACTTGTTGAACACAAACTATAAGCCAGATCCCATAATAAATCCTTCCATGTTTTCACATTTTACATCTTTGCAACAATCCTCTGAGGCCAGTGGTAAAAAGGAAAGAGCATGGACTTTGAATCTGAGTTGACTTTATTAATTCTGTTCATTACAATATTTGTTTCTCCTTCCAAGCACACAGTAGGACAGCACTTTTTGGCCCTCCTAATTTGCATAAGTGGCCACATGACTTGTTTTAACCAGTGAAACATAAGTGAAAGTGATGTGCATAACTCTTGGGAAGAAACGTGAAAGGACAATGAACAATTCACCATATCCCTTCTTTGCTGCCTCAGCAATCAAGGACCCACAAAGATGGAGCCTATCCTCAGCTTACATCTTGGATAGCAGGTAACACAGCACAGAACACTCCTGGCCATCCCCTGACTGACATGGATCATGAGCAAAAGATAAACTTTCATGGTTTTAAGCCACTAAAACCTGGGGATTGTTATATAACATAATCTAGCCTCTTCTGACTGATATAGCCACTCACTAACTTTTCAACCTTAGAAAAAATACTTAAACTCTCTGAACTTTGCTTTCTTTACTAGCAAAATGGAGATAATAGTGTGTACTTCAGAGGGTTGTTATATGAATTAAATTTGACTAAACAGAGTACCTGGCTTATGGCAGATATAAACACTAGCTATAATTATTATGGATAAGGAAATTGAGGCTCAGACAGAGGGGAAAGTAAATTAAATGATATTGTACCAGGCCCTTTACATCTATTAGTTTTTTTGTTTTCTTTTTTTTAAATCCTCAGCTGAGGATATTTTTCCATTTATCTTTAGATAGAGTGGGAGGGAGGAGGGAAGGAGAGAGAGAGAGAAAGACTGACGTGAGAGAGACACATTGATTGGTTGCTTCCCGCATGGCCCTAATCACAGCCAGGGACCGAATCTCAACTGAGGTACGTGCCCCTGACCAGAATCAAACCTGAGACTCTTTGGTCCATGGGCTGATACTCTAACTGCTGAGCCGAACTAGTCAGGGCTATTCGTTCTTATTTTTTGTTTGTTTTTTTTGTTTTTAAATCCTCACCCGGGGATATTTTCCCATCTATTCCCATCTATTTTCAGATAGAGTGGGGGGGGGGGGGACATCATTGTGAGAGAGACACACTGACTGGTTGCCTCCTGCATGACCCCAACCAGGGCTGGGTACTGCAACCAAGGTACATGCCCCTGACCAGAATCTAACCCACAACTCTTTGGTCCACAGGCTGACGCTCTAACTGCTGAGCCAGACCGGCCAGGGCTGTTCATTCTTTTTCTTTTTTGATATGTTTTTATTGATTTGAGAGAGTGGGAGAGAGAGAAAGAGAGAGAAACATCAACATGGATGAGCTGCCTCCTGCATGCCCTCTACTGGGGATTGAGCCTGAAACCTGGGCATGTGCCATGACCAGCAATTGAACTGGCAACCTCCTGGCGCATAAGTCAATGCTCAACCACTGAACCACACAGGCTGGGCTGTTCATTCTTTTTTTAATTGCTGAAGAGTATTCTATGGTATGGATGTATCACAGCCTGTTAAATCATTCACTTGTTAGATAAAATCTAGCTTTCCAGTTTTGGGCCACAAAAAAAGTGGCTATAACTTTCATGTATGTATTTTTGTGAGCTTAAGTCTTCATTTCTCTGGGACAAATGCCCAGGAGTTATATTATTACTTTTAATCCCTATGTCAACATTCTCAGTAAGTGTTCTTATTCCTAGTTTACAAACTAAGAAATAGAAGAGAGTGATTAAAAAATTTGACCAAGGTCACATGGACAGAAAAGCAGTCAGGATCTGAATACAGATAACGACTGCCTTTCACGACCCTTCACATTCTGCTGAAGAAATCCTAACAAAGCTAATAGGCCAAAGCTAATTTTTATAACGTGGTGGCAAGTACATTTTAAGATGAGCAATATATAAAAATGGGCTTATCACCAATTAACATTACTTATATGAGTCTGAGATTGTGAATAATAGTACATACCTTTGTATAGTTTGGAATCGAGTTCTGGTCAAAACCTCATCATTCTTTTCATGGCTTTTTCCCACTTGGATCTTTCTTTCACCTGAAAGAATAATAAAGTAAATGCATTTTTAAAAAGTTTTTTTTTTTAAATTGATTTTATAGAAGGGAAGGGAGAGGGAGAAAGAGACACAAACATCAATGAGAGAAGACACTGACTGACTGCATCCTGCATGCCCCTCACTGGGGATCAGGCCCACAACTTGGGCATGTGCCCTGACTGGGAATCAAACCGGTGACCTCTTAGTGCATGGGTCCATGCTCAACCACTGAGCCACATCAGCCAGGCAGTAAATGCATTTTTTATGGAATTTCTGCCAACCCAGATTATTATTTTTATTCTCTTCACTTCCCCTTGGTCTTGTACAGAATGAGAAATAATCTGGATAAACAAAAGTGCTTCCTAATTGGGTTTGGATTGAGTGCTGTAGAAGAGGTTTTTGCTCTGAAAGTTTATTTTCCTTGCTCAGAGGGGAGAACTCTGACACTCAGAATACAATCAAGCCATTTACTGGCCTTCCAGTTATAACCACACAGTTATTTCTGGAGACAAATGTTGTTTTGTCTTTTCAGGAAGGCAAACTGACCTGGTTCCTGTCAACAGACACCAGGGGGCGTTGAAACCAAGAACTGTTTGTACACTCAAGAGTCCAACTAGAAAAGGCCATTAGATGGGTGTTCCCAGAGTTCTAACTGTGCCTCTTGGCCATCAAATACCACTTAAGGAGTAGGGGTGGGGTCCTGAGTACTAAGGAGCTAATTCAACTGTCTTCTGTTCTCCCTGGCATCAAGTGTCTGAAGTTACTCCTCCCCAGTTCTCAGTGAGATAAGAGTGCAGACAGAGCCAGTATCCATGTTCCTTCCCACCATGGTACTGCTGTGGTTTACAGAGAAAGGGACATAGCAACCTGCCCTATCAGCAAATACTCATGATCCCCCTGCCATTCCTTAGGTCCAAGTAGTCTGGTGGGCAATGGGGAGGCCCATAAGACCACCACCACCTTTAGCAGGTACCAAGAAGTTCTGAGGATGCACTGGGGTTTTTCCTGTAACCCTCTTTCAAATACTAGAAAGTATAAAGAAATTCCGAATAAACACAATTTAGAGCAGGAGGGAAATTTAGAGATTTCAGTGTCTGATCATCTCCTTTACTTTATACTAGAGGAGAGTGGAACCCTGGGGTGAAGTGACTTGCCCAAGGGCATGCAGAAAGAAAAATTCAGTGGCAAAACTAGGCTTGGAAACCAGCATGTGTCCACTTGTTACCCGTTTCATCACCTGGTGTGGAGTGAATATATATCAGAGCCCCAGTGGAAAAGGGGGAAGAAAGGGCTGAAAGAATGAAACAGTAGAAATCAGGTTTCTTCATGTACCGCATATGTCTGGATTGAATTAGCCCAGGTTTTCTGACCTGTCTGCCCCACAGTTTCTCTGTTCCACTAGACCCTCTTCCAAACACAAGTGAAGTGGCCATGTGTGCAGGCTAGGCTACCCAGAAAGTAATCTTGGGCAGAGGCTCCACAAAAAGAAGTGGGTGGCCCAAAACGTAGGTCTGAGGACTTACCTACTTATTATCCTGAGAATTTAACTGTTCATCTAAAAGCTTACAGCTTCTTGACCTGGCTGGTGTGGCTCAGTTGGGTGAGCATCATCCCATGCACCAAAAGGTTGCTGGTTTGATTCACGGTCAAGGCACATGCCCAAGTTGTGGGCTCAATCCCCAGTAGGGGACATGTAGGAGGCAGCCGATTGATGTTTCTCTTTCTCTTCCTCTCCCTCCCTCTCTAAAATCAATAAAAATATATTTTAAAAACTTACAGCTTCTTGCCCTGGCTTGTGTGGCTCTGTTAGTTGGGTACCGTTCCATGTACCCGGTTTCAATTCCTGGCCCAGGCACATGCCAGGGTTTCAGGCTGCATCCCTCGTAGGGAGGTGTACAGGAGGCACCCAATTAATGTTTTGCTCTCACATCAATGTTTCTCTCTCTCTAAAATAAAAAAATCAATAAAAATAGCCCTGGTCAGTGTGTCTCAGTGGATAGAGCGTTGGCCAAGCACCAAAGGGTTGAGGGTTCAATTCCTGGTTAAGGGTACATACCTAGGTTGCAGGTTTGGTCCCCAGCCCCGGTCTGAATGCATGCAAGAGCCAACTAATTGATGTGTCTCTCTCAGGTCGATCTCTCTCTCTCTACCCATTACCACCCTCTCCTTTCCACTCTCTAAAAATCAGTGGAAACAATATCCTCAGATGAGGATCAACAACAACAAAAATCAATAAAAATATTTTTCTTGCCCTGGCCGGTTTGGCTCAGAGGTTAGCACTTTGGCCTGCGGACCAGAGTCGCGGATTCGACTCTGGTCAAGGGCATGTACCTTGGTTGCTGTTCAGTACCTGGCTCTAGTCCAGGTCATGCAGGAAGCAGTCAATCGATGTTTCTCTCTCTCTCTCTCTCTCTCTCTCTCTCTCTCTCTCTCTCTCTCCCCCTCCCTCCCTCCTACTCTATCTAAAAATAAATACCCTCAGATGAGGATTAAAAAAATATATATATATATACACAAATATATATATATATATTTTAATTTATTTTAGAGAGAGAGGAAGGGAGAGAGAGAGAGGAACATCCACGTGAGACATCAACTGGCTGCCTCCTACATGCCCCCCACTGGGGATCGGCCCACAACCCGGGCATGTGCCCTGACCGGAAATCGAACTGGGACCTCTCAGTCCATTGGATGATGCTCAATCCACTGGGCCACACTGGCCAAGCAATAAAAATATTTTTTTAAAAAAAGCTTACAGCTTCTTAAAATGCTTCCAACTGTGACTGGGGCCTGGCTCAGGTTAGAGATGAAAGCTGGAGTGTGCAGGAGGAATAAGAAAGTCAGTTCACAGCCCAAACCCACCCTGGCTAGCTGGGTTCAGGGTACTGAGACATGCCCTGGCCAGTCTGGCTCAGCAGTTAGACTAGGTTCGGTTCCTGCTAAGGGCATGTACCTCAGTTGTAGTTTGTCGCCGGCCCTGGTTGGGTCGTGCAGGTGGCAACCACTTGATGTGTCCCTTTCATGTCGATGTTTCCCTCTCTCTCTTCCTCTCTCTCCCTTCCATTCTATCTGAACAAAAAATAAATTAATTAATTTTAAAAAATTAAAAAATTAAAAAATAAAAGCAGAGTACTGAGACATGACTGTGGACAACTACATGACTTGGTTGGTGGATACCTCTGGTTTTACAACAGATGGTTGCATGCCTTAAAAGAGCAAAAGTATACAATGTTTTAAACATTTGTATCAGAACCAGTGGTTCACTTATATCTTGTCTGTCCCACACCCCGGCTGCTGATCTTAACCTGCCATGTAACAGAAAGCAGAACCTAAGGCCTCCCAAGGGAAGGATGGTATGCTGCTGACTCTGCACTACTGGCTGTTATCAACTCTTTGCTAAGATGCTAAGCAAGCAAAGGAAAATGATGGTGAAACTCTGCCTTTAGGGGTAGAAAAGGACATAGAAACCTAGTTCTAGTTTTTGTTGTATCAATAACTAGCTGTGTGGCTTGGGCAAATCCTTCAGGTGAGGTCAGCAAATATAACTGAACATCTAGTATGTGCCATAAAGAAGCCTGAAATCTGGTAAAAGACTGGGAAAAAAGCAACAATTTCAACACATACCATAAGAACTCAAGGGGCGGTATAAATAACATAACATGTGGATGTCTTGAAGCTGGTGAGCAAGAGATTCACTCTAATGAGGGGAAACCATTGAGCCTAGGTATTCCCATTTGTAAAATGAAAGGCCTCGAGAAGATTAGTTCTAAGGACCACTCCAGCTCCAAAAATCTGTGTTCCAACACAAAGTGAAGGCAAGTGATTCTCAAAGGAATCTTCCCTAATGGCTTATTACCAGAGCCTTGACGTTGGGCAAATGCATTCTGTATTCCTTTGAAGTCTTTTTCTATGGGACTTGAGGTCTACAAAAGAAAGAAAGGAGGTTCAATGGAGGCAGACATATTATCGAAAGATCGAGAGAGAATTTCCTGATGCTCTGAAACCTTGAAAATCTTCATAAAAGTATTTTACAAAAAAAGAACAAACCTGCTTTGCAAACACTAATTACTTGTTTATACTATAGGTTCCTCTTCAACAAGGCCTCCCCCTAGATTTTCATAATGTCCCAGTCTGCTCACAGTAAAATCAAGATTGTTTAAATGATTAATTATGGAAAACTGCTCTGACTGAGTTTTCAGAAGTGCAGACAAGTGGAACTGATGCTTTCTGATACATCACTGAATTCTTTTTGTTGTTATTGTTTCATCCTCACCAGAGGACACTTTTGCATTCATCTTCAGATAGAGCAAGATGGAGAGAGGGAGAAAGAGAGAGAGAGAGACACATCAACTGGCTGCCACCCACACGACTCCAACTAGGGCCAGAGACAAAACGCAACCAAGGTACATGCCCTTAGCGGGACCCGAACCTGGGTCTCTCTGGATCGTGGGCCGACGCTCTAACTGCTGAGCAAAACTGGTCAGGGCACATCACTGAATTCTTGTCAGTCAAATGTGATTGACACATTTGTTTCTCCATTTCCTCTGCCCCACCCTCTGTACTGGTAAAATATATTTTTTTTAAAGGTAAAAGATTAATGGGGAAATGAGGTAGAAATTGTATAAGTAAATAAAAGAATCCAATGAGTTTTATTTTATAAATGAAAATACTCTTTATAGATAGGTTCTTGCAAAAGCCAGGCAGATTCCCAAGAAAGCTGAGTGTGCTGGACAGCTTCTTATTCACTGCAGAACCCTTGCTCTAATCCTGGCTCTCCCACCACTGAAGCCTGGTAGGCCAGAGCTAATTCCCCACCTCTGTGGATCACCAGTTCTTCACAAAGAAAAGTAATAGCAGAGCCCTGGCCGGTTTGGCTCAGTGGTTAGAGCGTCAGCCTGCGGTCCAGAGAGACCCGAGTTCGGTTCCTGCTAAGGGCGCGTACCTCGGTTACAGTTTGTCCCCAACCCTGGTTGGTCGTGTGGGTGGCAACCACTCGATGTGTCCCTTTCACGTCAATGTTTCTCTCTCTTCCTCTCTCTCCCTCCCACTCTATCTAAATGGAAAAATGTCCTCAGGTGAGGATAAAAAAATAATAATAATAATAGCAGACCTTTTTTCTGTTCTCAGAAAGGATATGTAAATTAGGTAAAATGAAGAAAAGCGCTTTGAAAAAAAAGTACAAAATAAATGCAGGAACCATTTGGGACCTTCCATTCTCAAATGTCTTATTTATTTTTCACATATTTTTTCAAACACTGATTAATTTGACATCATATACTTCTATGTGATGTGTAAGCTATTTTTCCTCAATAAAAATAATTTAAAAGGAAAAAGGCAATGGAGAAAGCTGAACTGTAAAGTTTTACCTCTAGGGCTACATTTTCTTGAGCAGTCGAAGAGTAAAAATATTCACTGTCTGGAGTTAAAAATTCATCTCTTATGTCCTCAGAAGACTCTGGTGAACTAGTTGATTGCCAGGACTGATCCTATTAGTAATGTAGGAAATCTCTTAAGTTGGTGTTCATTGTAAAGAAGTCCCTTTACAGTTGGATGCAGTATTAACAACAAGGTTATCTAAAATTAGCAGTCAGGGTGACACTCTCTGCCCTCCTTCCTCACAGCGAGCTGTGAACAGAATGGCAATCCTGAGTCTCTGTGCCTTCATCTGCACAGTGGAGTGGAAAGGGGCTGAGCAACCTTTCTGCTCCAAATTTTTCAGAAAGAAGGCCCTAGACAGCTCAAGCTGGGGACTGAATTTAAGTACCCTGATCCCCAAGCGCGTAGCCACAGTCCATGTGCTTGCATCGTCCTCCAGATGAGAAGGCTGAGGCTAGGGGTGTTGTTACAGTTTAAAGGCAAGGGGAGGATCATGATTTTAAAAACAGCAATGCAAACTCAATAGTAAAAACGAGAATTAAAAATTTTAATGTAACAGTCCTTTCTTCAGCATCTCTGCTCCACCCCTTCCTTTTCTGCTTATTTTTCTGTGTTCAGGCCCTGATCCCCACTTGGCAGACAACAGGCTCCCTTCCTCGCTTTCAATCATCCTTTTGCAGAGGTTTTGTGGTTTATTTCCTTGGACACTGCTTTTGCCACACACATCCTCTTCCTGGGTACTTATCAGCTGTTCTCCTCTTTACTTCTCAAATCAAACTGAAACATCTCAAACAAGCCTGGCCTCCCATACCTTCCCCACTTCCCTGACAGACTAGCCAAGCCAGTCTGTTTATTATGGCATGTCCTTCTAACCGTCACGTGACAGAAAGAATAAATTATTCTGTGAGTGGTTTATACGCAATGATAAAATACAATAGTATATTCTCTGAAAGGCCTAAAATGTTATCACAGTTGTACTTTTACACTGTTTTATTCTCAGTTGTTATTTATATTCTTTAAGTGATTGTGGCCCCAAATCAATGCTGGTAAAAACATTTTGGTTCCTTAGTCTGGCTGTACTGTGGCCCAATTGCAGGCTTCAAGGATGTGTTAAATCCCTGAAGCAAAGCTATAACCTCAATGTAAATGATGGGAAATGACTGACTCCACTGATTCTATTGAGGTGCAGTTGTCAGGCACGAACATATTCCTTCCACTGAGTTGAGAGCTGAATTTGGGTCTTAGAGGACATCCAGGTGAAGGTCCTCTCATCATAATCCTGGCCGTGCTTTTCCTTCTCCAATCTGGCCTCAGTCATCTGTTGAGCCACCAGCTTTGGTATCTTACCCATGCTGCACCTCCAGAGTTGGTCTTGTCCATCCAACTAGATGGGAAGCTCAAGAGCCAGAGCTGAATCTGATACTTGTCTGTGTTCCCTCCAAGATACACAACACTTTGAGTTGAACTGACTCAGAAAGTAATACACAGGGAGGTAAAGACTTCTTCATGTCAGGGACATGAGGGCACATACAGATATTATTTCAATATCATGATACGTAACAACTCAGTACTACTTTATTAGGTCCTTGGGTTCAACTTAGCTCTCCAGAACATATTACTTACGCTGAAAGACTTCTCAATGACCACAGATGCATCAGAATTTGCTTGAAAGACTTCACTATGTTCTGGCTGCTCATTTTTTCTGGGGCACAGGTGGTGTCTGATACCTAATGATTATAACACAACCAGGGCCACAGTGATTCAGTGGTATTCATATGGCATGAAAGGGCAAAAGGCAGCGTGAGAGAAGACATGCACACATATTCTGCTAAGGGTGGCCATGTCCCATGTGGCCAGGTCAGGTTTAGACTAGAGAGTACAGACTGTTAGTTTAGCCTGGCACCAACATGCAGCCCTGGATCGTTCACCCTTTTATTCAAGAGTGGAGCTCAATGAGCTCCAAAAAAAAAAAAAATACAAAAAACAAAACAAAACAAAAAAAAACCTAAGCCAATAGATTTTCTACATTAAATAAATAATCGTTTTAGATGTATCTTTCTTTGACTTGCAAACAACTGTGAACTAATATCCTATGCCTTGAATACAAGCAAATCACCAGGTGGAAATACACAGCCTTCAGTTTTAACCTACAAATCTATAAAGTGATGACAGCCAAAGGTTCCTCTGGCATATACTCTCAGGGAGCCAGTAGAATTTTTCCAGCTTAAAATGCAATGCAAAGAAATGGGAAGTAGAGAGTGACTGTCCACCACTGCTCTCAGGTAAGAAAGGTTCAATTCCTTACTAGGTTGCACCCAATGCCAGGGTCAGTGCATGGGGATTATTTTACTTCACTTGAGAAAATGGGTCTGCTTGAGCAATAGAAAACCTCATGAATCTCTGGATTTCTTTACCTGCAGGAGGGACAGTGGGATCAAAAGGGCATGTTTTCCCCTGCAATGCAGGGTTCCTAGATAGTTGGGAAGGAGAGGAAACTGAGCAAAGGAAATATTTCAGGAGGTTCATTTGTTTTTGAAAGCTAATTACTTGACAGAGTTCACCTATCCCAATTCCTCCAACTGAACTTACTGGTGAAGCTTCCAGGCCCAGGCTGTCTGCTATGCTGGTCATTGTCAGGGTCATCATTGTCTGTTTTGTCACGCTTGCCATTTCCTCCTGGTGCATCAGTTTTCCTGGGATACTCTACAACACGCCGCCAAGTCACATTCTCAGGGTCCCTAATGGGGAGCTGCAGCAAGGGATCAGGCTCATTTTCAGCCTTGTTCTCTAAAGTCAAACTACTCTGGGGATGCCAAGGAGGTCTAGCCAGCTGCCCAGTAGCTGCTTTCTCTGCCATTTTTTTCACCTCCACTGGATACAAGAGAAAGCCATTATTTAGAACAGCACCATGAACACTGGAAACAAAAGCTTTTGATTCTTAAAGAGCTATATAATACTTTTTTTTTTTATAATCCTCACCCAAGGATATTTTTACATTTATCTTCAGAGTGGGAGGAAGGAAGGGAGTGAGAGAGAGAGAGAGAGAGAGAGAGAGAGAGAGAAATATCAACGTGAGAGAGACCCACTGATTGATTGCCACCCGCATGACCATAACTGGGGCTGGGGATGAACCATAACCGAGGTACGTGCTCTTGGCCAGAATCAAACCTGTGACTCTGGTCCACAGGCTGACGCTCTAACTGCTGAGCCAAACTGGCCAGGGTTATATAATATTTTTATAGCTCACACTGTCACAATTGCCTTTTTAGAATTACATCACCTTAGCTTATCCTGTTTCGCTTGAAGGGGAGGGGAGAGAATAGATGACAGATTGAGGAAAAGGCGAAAGAATTTCACTTAGTTACAGCCCTTTTTGCTGAATTCCAGACAGTAGAATACTTGCAGAGAGACCTTCTTGCTCTGAAGATGTCACAAGAAAATGACAGCTGAAGCCTCTAGTCTGTAGAGATTGTACAGGATTCTATTTGAGTTTGTCTAGCCTTTCTAGGCCATGATGAGCTCATATTTTGGGAGTGTGCATATATTTGTGTACTTTCAATCCAAATGTTGTATACTTTTGTTAATGTCACCTAGCATTAGTGTTTAAAAAAACAACACATGGACATTGTTTCCTTTTAAGCTTATAAGATAAAACTGATACAAAAGGGTAATACCCACAGGATATGTAAAAGTGACCTTGCATGCTTTCTACGTTAATGATTGTATATATAGTAAGTATCCATATTGTATATTTTTACTACACTCGTTATATAATTTACATTAATGTATAACAGAAACATTTTTTATGTGGTCTAGAAATGAAAAAAGCATTTCTATTCTGCAGTTTTCAGAAAGGCCTTGCTTTTAAAATTGAATGACCTAACAGAAGAAAAGAATGTGGGCCCTGGCCAGTGTGACTCAGTTGGTTGGAGTGTTGTCCAAAAGATGGCGGGTTTGTTTCTCAGTCAGGGAATGTACCACATGCAGAAGGCAACAGAGCATGATGCTTCTTTCTCTCTCTTTCTTCCTCTCTCTAAAATAAATTTTTAAAAGAAAATAAAAAGAATGTGGGAGGACAGTGCAACACAGGCCGTGGTTAGAGATAACAACCAGGTTAGAAATATACTTCAAATTTCATTTTGTCCAACAAAACCCAAGACTTTATACTTACTTTTCCATTTTAAGTGTACCTTTCCAACATCTTCATTATTTCTTGACTTTGAGTCCATATTGATCCTAAATTGTATAGGTTTTTTGGAGGGGGAAGGGAGTAGGGTTTGCTCAAAACACATCAGTTTGCTCAAATTTTTGACACAACCCTGAGTCTACCAGCCCACCCAGAAGACTGTCCCCACTCTGAGCCTTCCTGGGTTTGCATTGACTCCTGATCACCACCAGAGGGCGCCAGATACCATCACCACCTAACCGCCCCCACCCTTCCTCCCCACCCCCCCACCCCCATTCTGCTAGCAAGACTCCTTGCCTGGTAGAGCCCTGGACAGGAATGGATGTCAATGGAGGTCCCTTCAGGTGACTTGACATGGCAAAGAGTGAACAATTCGGCTGCGTCACTTTGGCATGGGCACTGGACTCTCTCGGCTGTCCTTGGCTAAGAAATGAAAGGACTGGATTAGAAGATCTTTAGGGGTTCTTTTTAATTTTCAAGTTCAGATTTCAAGATATTCGTGCTCTTGGGAACCCTGGCTACTTTGGCTCAGGGGTTAGAGCACTGGCCTGAAGATCAAAGGGTTCGATTTCTCTCTTGGTCAAGGGTACGTATCTAGTTTGCAGGCTCGATATCTGGCCCTGGTTGGGGTCCTGCGGAAAGGCAACCAGTTGATGTGTCTCTCTCACATCGACGTTTTTCTCTCCTCCCCTCCCCCTTCCACTCTGTCTAAAAATCAACGGAAAAATAATCCTCAGGCAAGGATTAACAACTACAAAAACAAAAACAGTGCTCTTGGGAGATTTTTCTGAAGTAGAAGAAACCTACAATTAAAGTACAGTTTCACCAGACAGAATCTTGGTCCTGAAGAACCCTCTCTTTCCTTCAATGCTACAGAACACAAGTGATAGTTCAGTAACTGCTCCTGTCCTTTAGCCAAAATTCTCTGGTAATAGGCCCACCTGTATGTCAGCAATAGCACAATAACTAACATTTGTAAAGATGGACTTAAGGCACCAGGGATCTTAAAGATATTCAGAGATCTTCAGCCTAGTTTCACTGAGTTCCAGACCCTGACCTGCCACTGGCTACCTGACTATAGCAAACTTCAATCTCTCTGGGCCAAGGTTTCCTTATCTGCAAAACAAGGTAGTCTCTTTTCCTCTAAATATCCCATGATTATATATATTTTATTGTCTATTAAACTAACTCTCAAAAATGTATGTGTGATCTGTGGCATGTATATGAATTCCCTGTTATCCAGAATGCCCTATTCTCCCCCTGAAACAAACAGAGAGACTGTTGCATTGGAAAGGTCAGATCTGATCATCTTTAAAGAGCAATTTTAACAGCTATCAATAATCTTTGAAACGTTCAAACCTTTTGACCTAACCTAGTAACTTTGCTTCTGAGATTATATCAAGGACCTAATCCGAAATGCAGAAAAAACTTTATTGACAAGTCACTGTGGCCCTATTAATAACAAAAATAAAACAACCTAAAATTCAACAATGGGGGATATCCAACAATTTCAAAATAAGTCTACATTACAAGGGTGCTTTTAATAATGTGGGATACTGCTCATGTTCTAATGTGAAGTGAAATAACAGGATATAATACATTATAATTAAAATAATAAAATCAGGGTATAATCAAGATATATATATATATGTTATAAAGCTGAACATCTGAAATTTGTTATTAATCAATATTACCTTAATAAATTTAATTTTTAAAAAAAGATATATACATGGGCCCAGCCAGTATGGCTCAGTTGCTTGAGCGTTGTCCCATGTGCCAGGAAGTTGCTGGTTCAATTCCCTAGCCAGGGCACATGCCTGTGTTGTGGGCTCAATCCCCAGTAGGGGACTTACAGGAGGTAGACAATCAATGTATCTCTCTCACATCGATGTTTCTCTCTCTCTCTCTCCCCCCTTTCTCTCTCTTTCAAATCAATAAAAACATATGTTTTTAAAAAGATAATATACATGCCCTGGCCAGTTTTGCTCAGTGGTTAGAGCATCAGCCCACGAACCAGAGAGGCCCGGGTTTGGTTCCCAGTAAGGACACGTACCTTGGTTGCAGTTTGTCCCCGGCCCGAGTTGGGGTTGTGTGGGTGGCAACCACTCAATATGTCTCTCTCACATTGATGTTTCTCTCTCTCTTCCTCCCTCTCTATCTGAAGATAAATGCAAAAAGTGTCCTTGGGTGAGGATGAAAATAACTAACTAACTAAATAAATAAATAAAAAGATAATACACATGTATATAATTTTCCATTTTTAAAAGTATACAAAAAAGCCTGGCCTATTTGGCTCAGCGGTTAGAGCGTCGGCTTGTGGTCCAGGGAGACCTGGGTTCAATTCCCGCTAAGGGCATGTACCTTGGTTGCAGTTTGTCCCCGGCCCTGGTTGGGTCATGCGGGTGGCAACCACTCGATGTGTCCCTTTCACGTAGATGTTTCTCTCTCTCTCCTTCCCTATCACTCTATCTGAACAAAAAATGGGAAAACATCCTTGGGTGAGGATTTAAAAAAAAAAAAAAGTGCTTTAAAAGTATACAAAAAAGACTAGGTGGATTGGTAGCAAAATGTTAAACTTTACTTTGGTTTGTTTTTTGGTCTTTTAAAGAAAGAGAGTAGAGCTGGGCAGGGAAAGCCACAACCACAGATTTTGCTTTGTCATCTAATGGCTATACTGGCACCCCATCTGCTTCTATATGTGAGTGCTAAACCTGATGTCAGTTAGGTGGTTCTTCAATAATTCTCTTTGTGCCCTGGCCAGTTTGGCTCAGGACAGGAGAGTCCCGGGTTCAGTTCCCACTAGGGGCATGTACCTCAGTTGCAGTTTGTCCCCGGCCCGGGTTGGGGTCGTGCGGGTGGCAACCAGTTGATGTGTCTCTCTCTCTCCCTCCCCTTTTCCCTCCTGCTCTATCTGAAGATAAATGCAAAAATGTCCTCGGGTTAGGATAAAAAAGTCCCCGGGTTAAGAATAAAAAACAAATAAATAATAATTCCCTTTGTAAAGGTAAAATACATTAAAATGTCTGGGCATTTTCCTGTGTTCTCCCTGAATGTACATTATTTACCAACATGAAAGGAGCAGCAAACTCATGTCATTAGTCTCAGTCACCACTAGGGGAGAATAAAAAATTTTTCTTCCAGAACTGATTTCAAAACTGTGGATAAATGCTGTCATTTAACCACAGAAAAGGAAAACTAAAATTGATACACTAGTCTGCCTTGAAAAACATTTACTGCTCCTTTAATAATTCCGATGTAAAATAAAATTAGCTTTACCTGCGTTCTTAAAAGCCTAGGGTACACATACATTCTCCTTCCAGTGACTTGTGAAGCTACTTCACTTCATTGATCCAGCTGGAAACCAGAGGTTGCAGGGTAACAGTGATAGTGTTCAACCCCCTCTTTCTGCCTTCCTATCAGTGACACTTATTTTGAACCAAATAGTTTGATTTCTGAAGCACTGACAAAGGGAATGCCTGGCATTTCTTTTTATAAGAAAAACCACCTGGGCAGCTTTGGAAAGGTAAGGTGCTTCACTTCTGACAACTGATCAGTTCTGTCTGATTAACCTGCCAGATGCTATACCTTTGATGTCTCCTACAAGTTTCACTACACTGCTCTTTTTGCTCACTTAACAGAGGTAACCTGCCAAGATTTGTTTCTGTGTCACTATTCTTCATCACTCACAGACTCTGTCACTAGACACACATTAAGTGACCTCAGGGTCACAAGGCATGGTGATACAAACAAAGGACAACAAAACGTTAACCCACCTGCTAGTATTTTGGTTCCTATTTCTTTCCAAACTATCCTTGGCTCCTTGAGTGGGCTGAAATTGTTCACCTGGACTCTGTTTTCCAGGGCCACAAAGAGTTGGCAGCTTGAAAAGAAGTAAACATGTTTCAGTGCTTTGATGAAGAAATTCTTCTCTTCACTCTTCATTCTATTTTTTAAGCTATTCTTGCTAAGTATGTAGAAATAACCAAAACTACCAAGATAATTTCCCTTTGCATGTTTCATATGTAGTACGCCATCTCTTCGCTGGAGGCCTTTATGTAGCAATGTTGGTCCCCAGCAACCCAGTCCAGACAGGGAGCAAGTGAAGAATGAGCAGACAAGCATTAAAGACCCAACAACTTTCCCCTATATTATATTAAGGCAGCAGGCTTTGTGGCAGGGGTCCAGGGCCCTGGGTTCTAGTCTAATCCTTATTCAGATTAACCTACAAGAGATTTGTGCTTCAGTTTCCTCATCCATAAAACAGGAACGATAATATCTGCCTGAACCCAGCAGTGGGGGATGCTATGGAAATCAGATGCAATAAAATAACAGCTACAATACTTTGGAAATAGTAGAAGTAAAATAAATTAAAGCCTAAGCCCCTTCTTGCCCAGACCAATCTCCAGCTGAATACAGTACAAGAGGAAATCCCATCCCACAAGGGTGGAAAAATCACCCAGGTAACCCCTGTATATTTCTGACCCACAAAATGAGAACTATTAAATTTGGGTTTTGTTTTTTTTTTTTGGTTACACAGCAATAGATAAACAAAACATATAAGAAAAGTTATTTATTTATTTATTTATTTATTTATTTATTTATTTATTTATTTTATCCTCACCCAAGGACATTTTTGGTTGTGGGTTCAGTCCCCAGTTAGGGTGTGTACAAGACTCTCACACTGACATTTCTCTCTCTCAAATCAATAAAAATGTAGTTTTTAAAATAAAAAAGTAAAAGTTGGCCTGCTTTTTATCACCATAGGACAGCAATTCTAATTAAGTTCAGTAATAAAACCCTCTTTCCAATGGAGCTGACCTCTCCTGCTCCACCCCCATCCTAGTAACACCTGGACTTCAGGAAGTTTAAGTTACTGAGCTTGGTGGGGTTGATCTAGCTCTATAATTCTATGATTCAAGAGGCAGCCAGCTCTCTATGTATGAATTTGTTCAAATTCATTCATTTATTCATTCCCTCAATGACCATTTATTTATCAAGTACTTCCTATGAGCCAGACACCCTGCTAGGTGTTAAGACAGAATGAGTAAGACCTAAGCCCTGTCCTTAAGGAGCTCACAAAGGAGCCATGCTGCCACAACCTCTCTAAGCCTCAAGCTAAACCTCCCAGGTTGGCTCCCATGGTGTCTTCTCACATCCTCTGAAGCATCGTCTTTGACTAGCAGGTCCCTCTGTTCCCCACCGGTGTGGGAGCTACCCATAGAACTTGTGGCTCAATCATATTCCAGGGTCTTATACATAGCCTCTGGCTCTATAAATGTTGACTGAATGTATGACTGAATGAATAAACAATTCAGAATGGGGATTAATACTTGCCCAAGATACCATAATTAGTAAGCTGAATCGTAAAATTGTCAATACTTGATTATCTTGACCTATAAAATAGCAATTTCATGAGGCCCCCACAGCTAAGAGGACCTCGATATGAGTTGATTGTATTTATGTCGCTCCTTGCACATGGGTTAGGGGCAATGCTGAACATGGCTCCAGGTCCTGTTTGGACTCCCTACCTCCCACTTCTTAGATTTACCTGATGGCTCTTTTCTGGTGGATCCCGAGTGCTTTTTTCAGAGGCCTGAGTGAAAGCGGTGAAAGCGGTGAAAGGTTTCCAGTCACAGCCACTTCTTTTCCTGGCCTTTTTGCCAAAATGTCCTCCTTGAAAATCTCTCACTGTTCTTGGAGACCTTGCTATAGTCAGGTAATTGGCACCCGTGTCCGGCCACTGGCCCTCTGGTGGTTGCAAGACAGGAGGAATATAAACGGAGGATGGGGGGCCCACGGCTGCAGGCAAGTCAGAGAGGTCAGGAAACATTCCTGAAGAAGCCCACAGAGAGATGCGCTCCTCCTGCTCCTTCTGCATCCTCTCAAACGTATTGAATTTCTGTTTGATTTTCTCCAGTCTCTCGTTATTCTCATTTGCTATTGCCTGTGAAATCTTTATATCCAGCATACACTTACTGATGTACATGTCGGTCTTGGACCACTTTCTCACATTGCCCTTGGCTTCTCCGGCTGGCTTGGGTGGACTGGGGGAACTAATTGAACCATTTTGCTGGTCCCAGTCCCCAAAGGAGAGCTCTGTGTCAGATTCTGAAGAGCTCTCGTCCTTGTCACAAAAACAGCACGCCTCTCTCTCCACCTTTTCCAACTCCTCTTCCAGGGACTTCAGCTCATCTACCTGGTTTGGGCTAGCCCCCTCCAGAAGTAAACCAGCTCCTGGGGGCTTTTCCTCTTTGTCACCTTCCACATCCAGGCAGCTTGAGTAGATTTCGTTGATTTCGAAGCTGCAGAGGCTTGCCTGACCTGGGCTAGGGCTCCTGGCCTCTTCTGCATCAAAGCAATCAGGAGAAGCAGCGTCTTGGTTCTGAGTCTCCTTGGCCGTCAGACTGGGATCTGGAGCCTGAGAATCTGGTGTTGCTTTCTCGCTGGGACCCCTTGGTGAATGAAGCTGACTGCCTGCTGAAAGGAGCAGCAACATGCAAATGGTTCAAGTGATCACATGCAGAAGTTAAGCAACCTTGGTTGTTGCTTGAGCGACATGAAAACACAGAAAGAAGCTTTCTATTTTCCCACTCCCTTCCCAGGGTGGAAGACTACCAGATACACTCACAGAGGGTGAGGGTATTTCTAACCTAGGAGAGAGTTCCCATTTTGACATGGACTGAAGTAGAAAATCTGGGAGGGACCAATCCCTGGGGGAAATGTTCTAAGCTTAAGGTATAGTGTGGTCAAAACATGCATAACTGGACACTTCCACTTGGGCTCAGTGGTTGTGGTTCAGGGGCTCACACCTGAGATTATCATTCCAGTTCTGCCCTGAGTCCAAAAAGTTCCTAGAGCCGCCGGGCCAGAGTGGCTCAGCGGATTGAGCGTCGTCCCATGAGCTAAGAAGTCCTGGTTCAATTCCCAGTCACGGCAGTGCCTGGGTTGTGGGCTCAATCCCCAGTAGGGGTTGTGCAGGAGGCAGCCAGATGATGTTTCTCTCTCACACTGATGTTTCTATCTCTCTCTCTCTCTAAAAATCAATGAAAACAGCCCTGGCCAGTTTGGCTCAGCGGTTGGAGCATAGGCCTGTGGACCAGAGAGTCCCAGGTTCAGTTTCCGCTAGGGGCACCTATCAAAAACAAAAAAAAAAACTGTTTGATAAAAATCAATGAAAACATATTGAAAAAACAAAAAAAGCCCTGGCCGGTTTCGCTCAGTGATTAGAGTATCGGCCCGCAGACCAAAGAGTCCCAGGTTCAATTCCTGTCAAGGGCACATACCTCAGTTGCAGTTCAGTCCCCAGTCCTGGTCAGGGTTGTGCAGAAGGCAGCCAGTTGATGTGTCTCTCTGACATCAATGTTTCTCTCTCTCTCTCTCTCTCCCTCTCCCTCCTTCCCTCCCACTCTGTCTGAAAATAAATGGAAAAAATATCCTCGGGTGGAAATTAAAAACAAAACAAAAACATTCCTAGAGCCAAACACATGCCCTCTGTTTCCCCCTGTTAGTCATATGTAGCCTAAAAAAGCTACACAAGAATCCAATGATAAAAGCAAAGGCAAAGTAGACTATAAGGGTGCAGACACAAATGGATTACCAACAAAAGGACCAACAGAAATCTCTGATAAGAAGATGAAAGTGCCTGGCCTGTATGGCTCAGTGGTTGAGTGTCAATCTATGCACCAAGAAGTTGCTGGTTCAATTCCCAGTCAGGGTACATGCCTGGGTTGTGGGCCAATTCCCCAGTGGGGGCATGCAGGAGGCAGCCAATCGATGTTTCTCTCTCTCTCTCTGTCTCTCCCTTCTACTGTATCTAAAATCAATAAAGAAAAAAAAGGAAAAAAAATAAAGAAAAAAAGATGAAAGCGACTGTCCCAGAGAACCTCATTGTTTCCAAAATGGACCAGATAATCTGAAGAACCTTCTTTGCAAATTGTCTCTGACCTTTCTTAGACCAGAATTAAGGATAGTTTAGATATTTACCTAATACTAATCAGTAAATACATGGCATTTATATTTAAAATGTATTTAGTGCCCTGGCCGGTTTTGCTCAGTGATTAGAGCGGTCCCGAGAGACCCAGGTTCGGTTCCCACTGGGGGCGCGTACTTCGGTTGCAGTTTGTCCCCGGCCCAGGTTGGTCATTCGGGTGGCAGCCACTCGATGTGTCCCTTTCACGTCGATGTTTCTCTCTCTCCCTCTCACTCTACCTGAACAAAAAGTGGAAAAATGTCCTCGGGTGAGGATAAAAAAAAAAAAGTATGTAGTTATATTTAATTATCTCATTCTCGAGTTTCTTTTTCTTTTTTTGGTACATGCCCCTAGCGGGAACCGAATCCGGGACTCTCCAATCCACAGGCCAACGCTTCAACCATTGAGCCAAACCGGCCAGGGCCTCGAGTTCCTTTTTCATTAAAGTAGCTTACATTTCTATCACTGCAGTAGAGTAGTAATATAAATAAATAGAAGGCTGGTGTCAGTAGACACTTACTAAATCAGTACCTAAACATCCTAGGGCCTCTGCTTTTGTTCAGGCTCTTTGAATTCAAGTAGAGTATATTTTTACTGTGAAACGGTGTAGTGAGACTGTACAGTGAAATAAAAAGGAGATAACTACTTGAAACAAAGTTATAATTACGGCCCAACACAATAATTATACTTACCTATGAAAGTAATAATTATTGTTTATTGCTTTGAAGAATATAACAGACAGGGAAATAGGGGAAATTTCTTTGAAAAAAAATGGAACCTCTTACATAAATGTCTAATGTATATTACAAAATTCTAATCCTTGTGGCATTCCTTCTATTCCTACAAAATATATTTTAAAAAATGCATAGCCCTGGCTGGTGTTGCTCAGTGGTTAGAGTGCTAGCAAAGGGTTGTGGGTTTAATTCCCAGTCAAGGGCACAGACCTGGTTGCAGGCTTGATCTCCTGCCCTGGTCGGGGTATGTACGGAGGCAATCGATCAGTGTTGTCTCTCTCACATCAATGTTTCTCTCTCTCTCTCTCCCCACTCCCTCCCTCCCTCCCTTCCACTCTCTCTAAATATCCTTGGGTGGTCCTGGCTGGTTTGCCTCAGAAGTTAGAGCATCAGCCTGTGGACTGAAGGGTCTCAGGTTCAATTCCGGTCAAGAGCACGGACCTGGGTTGCAGATTTGTGTGGCAGACAACCAACTGATGTGTTGCTCTCACACTGATGTTTCTCGCTCTCTCCCCGCCCCCCTCCCTTCCACTCTATCTACAAATAAATAAATAAATATCCTCGGATGAGGATTAACAAAAAATATATATCCTTGGGTGAGGATTAACAAAAAAACAAGCATAACTGTCAGGATATTCAAATTACAGGCCCCAATTCTTAAGGACTAAATTCACAGCTTTTTTTATACACACACGAGTTTGAATATTCATATCAGTCAAAGTTATGCTCTTAGTGAACATTTAATAAAAGTAGACACTGCCTAAGACACCACTGCATCGTGGGAATAAGACTGCAATAAGTAATGCCAGGCCTGACCACCCGTCACCCTTGGTTGATGGTATACAGCTCGCAGAGAACAGGACAGAGCCAAAGCAATGAGAGCTTGGGGAGCCATTCTGGAGGCCTCTACCCGTCCAAAGAGAGTCAGAGAGAAAGGTCACTTGGCTTGGGTGCCAGCTCTGTAACAAGCTCTGGAATCTTGATTGAGACACGACCTCTCTGACCCTTGGTTTTCTCATTTGGAATGTGAGGGCATTAAGCAGGATGACTGCAAGGCTCTTTCCAGCTCTGAATTCTAAGGTTTCAAAATATACTAAAAAGCAATAAGGCCTATAGGAAAAAGGTAGAAAGAAACACTAAAATGTTAACAAAATATTTCTAAGTGGAAGAATTAAAATGGTAATTTTATTCTTTGTCTCAAAAAAAAAATTTTTTTAATCCTTACCCGAGGATATTTTTCCATTTATTTTCAGATAGAGTGGGCAGGAGAGAGAGAAGAGACAGACACATTGGTTGGTTGCCTCCCACAAGACCCCAACGAAAGCTGGAGACCAAACCACAACCGAGGTACATGCCCTTAACCAGAATTGAACCCGAAACTCTCTGGTCCGCGGGATGACACTCTTAACTGCTAAGCCAAACCGGCCAGGGCTCAAACTTTTTATGATGAGCAGATAATAGTTTTAAATTAAGAAATTATCATTTTTATTCATGAAACAATTAGATAAATTCCTAAGAGTAATCATGCTAGAAATTAACTGGTTGCTACTACTTAGTTCTGGATCCAACCAAGGTGTATACGGAGCTCAAAAGTTTTAACTTAAAAATGTCAAGGATCTTGATTTTTTTCCCCTAAGGCATCCATCTTTTCCCAGTGTAAGTGACATGTACAGTTTAGAAGAATAGATTAGTTGTAGCTTGTGTAGAACATGTTCATGCCAAACCTGTGGGTTAAGACCATACCCGCTTCCTTCAGCTGTTTTATTTCCAAATCAGGGTTCTCTTTTGGATGTTCTGAAGTCAGTCCTAAGCAGACACTGACATCAGGATGAAATTCATATCGCTGCACCCTGGGGCTCTCAGTTGGCTGAGTTCTCTGGGATCTAATCAAATCCTGTAACAAGGGAAATATTGTTAAAGATACATTTGCAATCATCTGAATGTCACTGGTGTTTCTGAAACAGATCTAGGTATTAAATAAGCTCCCTCTTACTCCTGTTGGGCAGATTGACTGTATTTCTTATTAGCTAATTCATTATTTTTATTTGTTTGTTTATTTATTTATTTATTTATTTATATCTTCACTCGAGGACATTTTTCCATTTTTTGTTCAGATAGAGTGAGAGGAAGACAGAGGAAAAGAGAGAGAAACATCGACGTGAAAGAGACACATTGAGTGGTTACCACATGACCCAACCAGGGTGGGGGACAAACCGCAACCAAGGCACGTGCCTTTAGCGGGAACTGAACCCAGGTCTCTCTGGACCGCAGGCCGATGCTCTAACTGCTGAGCCAAACCAGCCAGGGCTTTATTATTTTTAAAGTAGTAACAACAGACTTTCAGTCAAGATGGCGGCGTAGGCAAATGCGGTATCGCGTCCTTCCACAACCACATCAAAGTTACAACTAAACTACAGAACAACCATCATTCAAAACCGCCTGAAATCAAGCTGAACGGAAGTCCTACAACTACGGGATTAAAGCAGCAGCCACTTTGAGACTGGTAGGAGGGGCGGAGGCACGATGGGCTGGTCACACACCCACATGTGGCAGATAAAATCAGGAGGATACCTCGCCTGGGAAGGTCCTCCCTGAGGACTAAGGGGTCCCTGTCCCACACCAGGCGCCCCGTTCAGGGTTCCAGTGCCATGAAGAGAAGTCCCCATAACTTCTGGCTGGAAAAACCAGCGGGAACTGAGGCTCAGGGAGGGTGACACAGCTGGAGCCCCAGGCAGCTCCTTAGAGGGCCCGCACACAGACTTGTCGGACTCTCTCCCTCTAAGCTTGGAGGGGAGGCAGCTCGAGGAGCGCCAGAGACATACAGGGAAGAACTGAGCTGTTTGGCACTGGAGCGAGGGCTGGAGAGGGGGCTTTCTCCAGGACAAACGTGCTGTCGAGGCCTTTGTTCCTTTGGTGAGCCCTTCTCTGGGGCGGCAGACAGTCGCCATATCTGGGAGTCCAGCAACCTGGCTCACACTGGTAGCCCCGCCCTGCTGACTCCCTGAGGCCCCGCCCCACCCAATTTTCAGGCCCAACCAAGCTCTTGCCAGTTGCTTAACCATAGGATTGGCCTGTCTTGGATCCTGCTTCAGGTTTTCCTAAATTCTTTCAAACAAGCAGCATCTGGTCTCAGATAGTCCCATACCTCTCGTTAAGTAATACACAGAAACAAACACAGGGAGGCAGCAAAAATGAGAAGACAAAGAAACAGGTCCCAAATGAAAGAACAGAACAAAACCCCAAGAAAAGAACTAAGCAAAATGGAGATAAGCAACCTAACAGATGCTGAGTTCAAAACACTGCTTATAAAGATGCTCAATGAACTTAGTGAGGGCCTCAAGAGCATAAAAAAGGACCAGTCAGAAATGATGGATGCACAGTCAGAAATGAGGGAGGCATTAACTAAAATAAAGAATAAGTTACACAGATTCAATAGTAGAGTACGTAAATCCAAGAAGCAAACCATTGGTTTGGAATATAAGGAAGCAAAAAACACCCAATCAGAACAGCAAAAAGAAAAAAAGAATCCAAAAAAATGAAGATAGTGTAAGGAGCCTCTGGGACAACTTCAAGCGTGCCAACATTCACATCTTGGGGGTGCCAGAAGGAGAAGAGAGACAACAAGAAATCGAAAACCTGTTTGAAACAATAATAGCAGAAAACTTTCCTAACTTGGTGAAGGAAACAGACATACAAGTCCAGGAAGCACAGAGAGTCCCAAACAAGATGAACCCCAAGAGGCCCACACCAAGACACATCATCATCAAAATGCAAAAGGTTCAAGACAAAGAGAGAATCTTAAAAGCAGCAAGAGAAAGGCAGCTAGTTACCTACAAGGGCGTTCCCATTAGGCTGTCAGCTGATTTCTCAAAAGAAACTTTGCAGGCCAGAAGGGAGTGGCAAGAAATATTCAGAGTGATGAAAAGCAAGAACCTACAACCAAGATTACTCTATCCTGCAAAGCTGTCATTTAGAATTGATGGACATATAAAGACTTTCCCAGACAAGAAAAAGTTAAAGGAGTTCATCACCACCAAACCGTTATTATATGAAATGATGAAGGGTCTTTTTGAAGAAAAAGATAAAATATATGAACAAACAAAATGGCAACATATCTATCGACAATGGAATCTACAAACAAAATGAACAGGCAGAGCAGAAACATTCTCATAGATACAGAGAACATTTTGTTGGTTGCCAGATGGGACGGGGTTTGGGGAAATGGGTGAAAAAGGTGAGGGGATTAAGAAGTACAAATCAGCCCTGGCCGGTTTGGCTCAGCGGTTAGAGCGTCGGCCTGCGGTCCGGAGAGACCCGGGTTCGGTTCCCGCTAAGGGCACGTACTTCGGTTGCAGTTTGTCCCCGGCCCTGGTTGGTTGTGCGGGTGGCAACCACTCCATATGTTCCTTTCACGTGGATGTTTCTCTCTCTCTCTCTCTTCCTCTCTCTCCCTCCCACTCTATCTGTACAAAAATTGGAAAAATGTCCTCGGGTGAGGATAAAAAAAAAAAAGAAGTACAAATCAGCCCTGGCCAGTTTGGCTCAGCGGTTAGAGCGTCAGCCTGCGGTCCACAGAGACCCGGGTTCGCTTCCCGCTAAGGGCATGTACCTTGGCTGCAGTTTGTCCCTGGCCCTGGTTGGGTTGTGTGGGTGGCAGCCACTCGATGTGCCCCTTTCACATAGATATTTCTCTCTCTTCCTCTCTCTCCTTCCCACTCTATCTGAATAAAAAATGGAAAAATGTCCTTGGGTGAGGATTAAAAAAAAAAAAAAAGAAGTACAAATCATTGCTAGACTGACAAACTTCAAAGGGAAAGGGGTTGGGGGGGGGGGGAATAAACCAAAGAACTTATATGCATAACCAGTGGACACAGACAATAGTGTGGGAAAAAGCGGTAGGGGGGTGGGAGTGGGGAGGAGAGGTTCAGTGGGGGAAAAATGAGGAACATCTGTAATACATTCAACAATAAAGATTTTTAAAAATAAAGTAATAACAACAGCTGCCATTCACTGAATATCACTATGTGCCTACAAGGTGCCCCCACTATGCGTTGATCCTCTCTAGCTTCCCTCATCAACTCCTTGCTATCCTCACCAAAATGGGCAGTTAGGTTTTTCTCAGGAACACAGAAAGGGTGTAATGAAAGGGAATTACAAAACTCCTTACAACTTGACTTCTAGCTTCTTCTTGATCTCTAACTCCCTACCCTCCTGAGATGAGCAAGCAGAAAAAAACTTCTAACAGCTGCAGAGCTTACCTTTAGGTCATTCTTCAGGATATACTGGATATCTTGAAGGTTCATAGTTCGGTCTTTCTGTTTGACCTGGATGCCTGACTTAACAATATCATAGTAAGGTTTTGGAAGCCTGAAATCTGCTTCTAAATAATTTCCCAAGGCTATGGCTCTTTTAATAACTGAGCCATCTAAGCCATCCCAGGGTACGTTGTCTGTCAAAAAAAAAAAGTCAGAAGGAAGAGTAACATTAAGAAATCAGTTGAAATTGAGTACCCTTGATCAAGTCACTCAGCCCCTTTAAATATTCATTTCTGTAGAAAAACTACCTGGAAGTCCAATCACAAATGAAAAGCCACTTTACCCATTTACCAGGGGGAATCCCTGCTGTAGAAACAGGAAAAAGTAGTCACCAAATCATGTATACATGGGCTTACCACTGACAGACCTGGGGACCACAAGGAACATTTCATGGAGTGAGGCTGGGTTGCCAATGCATTATTTTCGTGGAAGGTGTGGTTTTGCCTCTGAGACTGTAAACACTGCTAAACGGGGGCTGACTCTCACTTACCCCCTCAGTGAATGTAGTTTGCTGACTCTCACTTACCCCCTCAGTGAATGTAGTTTTATAGTGTGTGCTTGTGTTTATCTCCTGAAGGATTCCCTCTGTCTGCAGGTATGTGACCATGTCTTTAAGTGACATCGATTACACATACAAGGAACCTGGGTGTGTTTAATTTCATAGTTTACGTCTCAGAGCCCAGTCTTGTCCCCTCATTTACTAGTTCTTCTGGGACTCTACACACAGATGCCTATATTCAGTTTAAAAACTTTGCTTGGATTAAATGCATTACCATTGGCAAGCTGACCGGTTGGCTTTGCTGAGTCTTAAAGAATAGGTTAAAAGAGAAAAATTTCTGGGAGATTATCTTATATTTTCCATAAGCAGAAAGAGATTTCCTTGAAGAAATCTCTTTTTCCTATGTCCTGCATTTTCCTAAAGCTAAGTAACTCTTGAGGGGGGCAGAGAGGGAATCCAATCTAAGAATAAGGAGTTTGGTCATAGTCAATGTATTCTTTGATCTACCTGTTAAAATCTCCTGTATGATCATAGAAAAGCTGTAGATGTCCGACTTCACTGTGGCTTCCTTTTGCATAATGACTTCTGGGGCAGCCCAGTTGTACAGCTGGGTCGGGAGGGGTACTCGAGTCAGGTGCCTCTGTACATCTCTGTCCTGGCTACAGAAGGAAACACAAAGTAGGGTTCATATCTTAAAGGATCATTGCAATCATCACACAGTATGTTTGTAAAACATTAGCCTCTGAAGACCAGCAACCTCCTTGATCTTCTAGAAACTTAGCTAGACCCTGAACTGACCCAAGCTGCCTGCTATTCCAACACCTGCAGTTCTTTACCATTTCTACCCAGTGGGCCCTGCCAATCCTCCCACCTAATTTGGCTGATCGCTCCTGTTCACTTCACTCAAATCACAGGAACCTCCTCTTTCAGTTTCTCCAACACACCAAGCATATTGCCACTCTGGGTCTTTGCACTGTTGGCTTCTTCTGCCTGGCACGTTCTGCCCGCAGACCCCAGCACGACTGCTGCTTCTTATAACAGAGGTATTAGTCCTCTTCAGAGAAGCCTTCCCCGACTACCTAATTTAAAGGAGTCCCACTTTACTGGCTTCAGAGCAGTTACTGTCTGAATTTCTTGTTCATTTTTATTTATTATTATCTGTCTTCCCTCCACCACAGCCAGGTCCGCGAGGGTAGGCAGGCACCTTATCTGTCTTTTATATCATTGTATCTGTATCTCTAAACTTACACCAGGGCCTCAATGCTTACTTTTTTTGTTGTTGTTGTTACAGATGTTTCCCCCCTCCATTGATTCCTTCCTCCCTAATCCCTCCCACCCCGTCCCCAGTTTTGTTGTCTATGTCCATCAGTTATGCATACATGCATATAAGTTCTGTGGTTTATACCTTTCCTCCCCTGTCAATGCTTACTTTTGACTAAGACTCTCTCAAGACCCTACTGAAGCCCCAGCTCCTTGTGGTTACTTCTTTTCTGAACTCTGCCCTCTTGGGAATGAGCCCTCTCAGTTCAGCACTCAAAGGTTCACAGATGTGCTTAAATAAATCCCCCCTCTGGCCAGGTAGCTAAGTTAGTTCAAGCATCGTCCCAATACACCAAGGTTGCAAGTTCAATTCCCAGTCAGAGCACATACAAGAATCAAGCATTGCCCTGGACAGTTTGGCTCAGAAGTTAGAGCCTTGGCCCATGGGCCAAAGAGCTGCGGGTTCAATTCTGGCCAAGGGCATATACCTCGGTTGCAGTTCATCCCCAGCCCTGGTCAGGGTCATGAGGAAAGCAACAAATCAAGGTGTCTCTCTCACACTGATGTTTCTCTCTCTCTCCCTCTCCCTCTCTCCCACTCTATCAGAAGATAAACAGAAAAATGTCCTCGAGTGAGGATTAAAAAAAAAAGAATCAAGCACTGAATGCATCAATAAGTGGAGCAATAAATCAATGTTTCTCTCTCCCTTTCTCCTTTCCTAAAAATCAACAAAATTTTATTTAAAAACAACAACAAAAACTCAACTTCCACCCAGCTGGTGTGGCTCACTGGTTGAGCATCAACCCACGCACCAAGAGGTTGCCAATTCGATTCCTGGTCAGGGCACATGCCCAGGTTGTGGGCCCGATCCCCAGCGAGGGTCATGCAGGAGGCAGCCAATCGATGTTTTCTCTCATTGACGTTTTTCTCTCTCCCTCTCCCTTCCTCTCTCTCTAAAATCAATAAAGAAAAACAAATTAAAAAAAAAAGAACTCTGCCCTGGCCAGCCTGGCTCGGTGGTTAGAGCGTTGGCCTGCGGTCCAGAGACACCTGGGTTTGGTTCCCGCTAAGGGCGTGTACCTCAGTTGCAGTTTGTCCCAGGCCCTGACCCAACCAAGGCCGTGCAGAAGGCAGCCACTCGATGTGTCCCTTTCACGATGATGTTTCTCTCTCTCTCTTCATCTCCCTCCCTCCCACTCTATCTGAACAAAAAATGGAAAAATGTTCTTGAGTGAGGATAAAAACAAAACAAACAAAAAAACTCAACTTCCCAACCAGTCTTCTTAAGAACTAAGTCAATGTGTCCTAAATATATTCTGAGCCAACAAGAGTCCTCAGAGTGAGATCAGTGCTAACTTCTGCACCCAAATGTCATGAGCATCCTGTGTGTGGAAACACTCCATGAGCCACAAAGCACTATGGAAGTTAGGAATCAATATAAACATTATGGTAGCCATTGGGTAAAGATTTGTTGACTGCTGGCTCATAATTAAGAATTAAGTTTTTAGCTCTGGCCAGTTTGGCTCAGCAGTTAGAGCGTTGGCCCGTAGAACAATGAGTCTTGGGTTTGATTCTGGTCCACAGCACATACCTTGGTTGCGGTTCGTCCCCAGCCCTGGCTGGGTCGTGTGGAAGGCAACCAGTCGATGTGGCTCTATCACATTGATGTTTCTTTCTCTCTCTCTCTCTCTCTCTCTCTCTCTCTCTCTCCTCCCCCTCCCCTCACTCTATCTGATGATAAATAGAAAAGTATCCTCGGGGGAGGAATAAAAAAAAAGAATTAAGTTTTTAAAAAGCAGTGACCAGTAGTTCTTTGCTGGTCTGGCAAAGGATAGATAATGGAGGATGGGATGTACTTCTCAGCCTTTGAACAAACTTCCCTAAATAATATTCCTTCTAGCAGAGCTTTTGATAGATGGCAGTGAGTTCAGGAAGCCACAAAGTTATAAAAGCTGACACTGACTTTTCAGTTGCATTGCTAGTAAGTTAGGTGTGGCCTGGCATAGTGTGAACAGCATGGATATACACACCAATATTATATTAGTATCACAGGAAAAGCAATGAGTGTTTTATGGTCAGAGATATATTCTGAGGACCCAGCATCCTTGGCTCTTCACATTGTGGGAAACAGTCACCTACCTTGTCAGACCTCTCAAGCTTGTCTAAGGCTCTAACAAGGGACAAGTCACTTATAACCCGGATTTAATATTCTTTCTCTTTTACTTCCACTCACCTTCCTCTTCTTACAATCCCTCTTCCTTCTCTGTTAAAGCTAGTTGAGTGTGGGAGGGAGAGCTTTTCTGGTTGTCATTCTAGGGAAGTTATTTTTCTGGGCTTCAGCTTTGACATCATTAAAATTGCATTTGGCTGCAGCTATGTGATACCACTGGCAAGGTCAAGTCTAAGCTCTCAAGAGTCTATTAAGAAGGAGTTGAAGAATAGGAGAAGCTGCTGTTATAATTTTTATACCAAGAGATGGAGTGCTACCCTTGACAATGTCATTCAACAAACCGACCTACACAAATAGAGTGTTACCAAAAATAAATGTGGAACTGGAAGCTATTTTGGATTCTTGTATAATCAACTGGTGTTATCAGCTGTCAAAGAAGGGTACACTGTCATGGAGGCAACTACTTGCTGACTTACATTTCTGCCTAAAGTTCCATTCTGAGATCAATAAGCCCAAAAGAGAACTCACACCATCCTACCCAGTTACTTTCCAGACCTTCTCTAGACCAGTCTGTGGACCCAAGCTCCTCAGTGCATCTCATCTTTCCCTTCTATTCTGGTTCCTTGGTCATCACCAGGTCCGGTCCTATAGCCTTCTACTTAAGTCTTCCTACCTTCAACCTCCAATCCATCCTGCCCCTACAGTAACAGCTGGGTAACCACATCATCTCTTCACCTTTCTGGGCCTCTATTTCCATCTATAAAAGGACAGGGTATGGCTGGGCCTCCCCAAAGCTCCATTTCCCTCTAGGATTCACATTTCCATTGAGAGCTCAAACAGAAGAAACTGTTATACTTCTATGTCAACAGATGGTGCTCCACCACTGGCAAACAGCTTGGATTCGTCAGCCTCCCTGAAAAGCCTTTGCTATCAGCAGCAAATATGCCCAAACCCTTACCCTCCACTGCTCCTGAACACAAAGTAATCAATCCTGTCCTAAACCATTTCCAGCTGGGTGCTGAAAATGAACAAGTCATGGTCCCTCCCCTCTCAGAGCCCGCTATCTGGTGGGACTGCAGAGAAGTGAAATTCGCAAAGTGCTGTGGGGACAGGGCTTCGGTATAGGCTTCGTGAGATGTGCTGGGAGATTGTGTCTGAAGTGAGATTAAAAAGATAAACAGGTGAATGCCAAGTATTCCAGATGTGGGGAGCAGCACTGTGAAATGGCATTGACAGAAAAGTGGCTTCACATGGCCAGCAATGAAGACGGCACTGTGGGCAGAGCTCCACTCTGGAAGGGGTCCACACCCTGCAAAGTGCCTGGACTTAATCTTGTAGGCAATGATTTTAAAAACTGAAAGTTTTGCCTGGCCAGTGTGGCTCAGTGGTTGAGCATCAACCCATGCACCAAGAAGTCACCGGTTCGATTCCAGGTTGTGAGCCAAATCCCCAGTTGGGGGACATGCTGGAGGCAACCAATCGATGTTCTCTCTCATTGAAGTTTCTTTCTCTCTCTCCCTCTCCATTCCTCTCTCTCTAAAAATCAATTAAAAAATTTTTTTTTCTTAAATAAAATAAAAACTGAAAGGTTTCTCTGTACCGCTGGCCGATGCTCCAACCGCTGAGCCAAACCGGCCAGGGCAAAAAAAACTGAAAGGTTTTAACTAGCACTAAGAATGGACCAGAACTGAGGCTGAGCAGCTCAATTGGAATAGTGATCTGGCCTCTACCAGTTCCCACATGGAAAACTGCTCCAGTCACCCTAACTGACCCTGCCTCTCTCTTGTCCCATCATGGCCCCTGCACATGCAGGAGCAAGGGGGGTCTTCTTAACTTGTAAATGATCCATGACACCATCCTGCTTGAAAATCCCTTCCACAGCATCTCAGTATTCTTAGGATAAAGTTCAAACTCTTCACCAAGGCCCATAAGGTCAAGCACAACCTGGCCCTGGCTGTCTTCTCCAGGGAGAGGGACAACAGGCACCAAAGGTCAGGGAAGTGAGAGTCTTCCCATTTCATTCATTGATAAACATCTGCTGAACACCTGCTGTGTGAAGGCCTGTTCCAGGAATGTGAGATACAGCAATGGATAAAACAGAAATCTCTGCCCTCCAACTTTTCATGTAATGAGAGAAGTAAATTATGAGTAGGTGAGAGGCAAAGACCCACTGAAAGACTGAGAGTGGGGGGAGCCTCAGTGATTGGTGGATGGGTGGGGACAAAGGTAAGCAGAACTCAGCAGGTCTAAGCAAGGGGTCTGCCCAGTAGCTGAAGCCTCACAGCAGAACAGAGTCAAAGGCTCAGAGCTGTGGATGGCAACAAGGAAGTGCAGGAGAGACACTCTCCCTCTGAGAGCCTAGGGGCTGGAAATGTGGGTCAGCCTATTTGACTCCTGCCAAACAGGAAATGAAGCCCATCCACCAACCCTTAAATGAGGGTGTTGTTTTTGTCACCACCTCCCTCATTGCACTGAGATCCCTGAGGGCAGGGAACACCCTTAGTGCCACCCTGGGCCAGAACTGTAAGGCTTAGCACCCATCACCTTCCTCTCTTTCCAGGATGCACAGCTATGGTACGTTTCCCAGGCTCCCTCCATACTCTCTTGCTCATTGACCAGTAATGCAGAAGACATAATGGGGAACTGAGGTGTAAGGGATGGTGGGGACACAGATAGGAGGAACGCAGAACACAGTGAGCGTCCCCCTCCAACACACACACAAGACTGCAATATGAGTGAGAAACACGCCTTGGTTGTCTTAAACCACTGAAAATTTTGTAGTGGATAGTCTGAGCATTTATAACGCTAGCTAATTTTTGCTCCTTCTTGTTAAATGTTTGTTAAAATGAGAATGTCCTAAGCAGAAGTTACTGCCCCAAAGCCCCTCTAACCTTAGCAGACAGAGCATTTGGGGCCCTGGCCGGTTTGGCTCAGCGGTTGGAGCATCGGCCTGAGAACCAGAGAGTTCCGGGTTCAGTTCCCGCTGGGCCCTAGCAGCGAGGGGCACATACCAAAAAAACACACCCCAAAACAATAACAAACAAACAAACAAGAAACAGAGCATTTGGGAAATCTCTTGCCACACTGATTGACAGTTCAGCCCACCAATGAGGAGGAGCCCTGCCCAGATTGGAAGTCAGGATTGAGGTTGCACCTACCTTTCCAGCACGTACTCCAGGTTGGTCAGCCTCGCTTCCCCTGTGGAGACGATGTGGATGGCGTAGGAGCTAAGGGAGCGGTGGATAAACCCCCAGGAATGCAGGTATCTCAGGGCATCGGAGATCTGGAGCAGAAGGTGCACGATCATATCCATGTGCAGCAGGGGGAACTCGGACCGCTGCAAGCAAGAGATAAACTGGCCTGGAACAAAGGGACTGCGCCCCCCAACACTGTAATATGCTTTGTAGCTCCCAAAGTCTTTCCTTCATTTTATTAAAATAAATTTATTTTCCTTTACTGATTTTAGACACAGAGGAAGAAGGAGGGAGAGAGAGACAGAAACATCGAATGGAGAGAACAGAGATTGGCCATCTCCTGCATGCCCCCCACTGGGGATCGGGCCCACAACCTGGGCCTATGTCCTGACTGGGAATTGAACTGGCAACCTCTTAGTTCATGTGTCATTGCTCAACCACTGAGCCACACCAGCTGGGCCCAAAGTCTTTTCAATTGATCTTCACAGCTACCTACTGTCCCATTTTACAGATCGGGAACCTAAAGGCCAGTGAGGCTCAGTGACTGGCCTAAGGTCCCACTGACCCAGGCTCCCTGGCTCCAAACCTAGGCTCCTTTCCCTCAGCTCAGCTGCTTTATACCACAAAAAATGAGGAGAAAGTTCTCAAAGTCTAGTAAGGGCATCCAGGGTGGGCTCACCACCACCAGCAATGAACCTGCCCTGCGCCTCAGCCCTCGTCCAAACCTGTGCTACTGGGAGAACCCTTTTGTTTAAAAAAAAAGTGTTTTTACTGATTTCAGAGAGAGAAAGGGAGACGGAGTGAGAGATAGAAAACATCAATAATGAGGGAAACACTGATCGGCGGCCTCCTGCATGCCCCCTATTGGGGATCGAGCCTGCAACCTGGGCATATGCCCTGACCAGGAATCAAATCAGGGACCTCCTGGTGCACAGGTTGATGTCCAACCCTTGAGCCAGACCAGCAGGACAGAGCCTGAACTTTAAAGGACCAATCCAGCCCCTACCCCAGAGAGATGACTTCGAAAGTTCATCCTAAGGGGACAGAAAATCACTCACACCAATGTACCCCAATGATTAAAGTCACTGGGTCTCTCCCAGAGAAGTGGCATTTCAAGTTAATGCTCTCACCCAAGGAAAGGAAAGGGAAACTAGGACACTAACAGGAGGTCCTCAGGCAAGAGGGATGGCTAGCCATTTTGGGGCAGGGTCCTTCCTGGAGGGACTCTTCTCACTCTTGCCCAAGGTCTTTAGAACAAAGTCATGGAGAAAAAAACACAAATCGTTCAGGACCTCTCTGAAGTCAATCTCAGCCTAAAGCACACTTGTCAGGGAATATGTGGGCCAGGAAAGATGCCAGGGAATATGTAGACCAGGAAAGATGCCAGGGAATATGTGGACCAAGAAAGATGCCAGGGAACATGTGGACCAGGAAAGATGCATCTGCCCGCACACAGGATTGTATATAAACAAGCCTCTCTCCCTGGCCGGTTTTGCTCAGTGGTTAGAGTGCCGGCCCTCAGACCAAAGAGTCCCGGGTTCGATTCCAGCCAAGGGCACATACCTCAGTTGCGGTTCGTCCCTTGCCCTGAATGGGGTCCTACGGGTGGCAACCAATCGATGTGTCTCTCTCACATCAATGTTTCTCTCTCTCTCTCCCCTTCCCACTCTGTCTGAAGATAAATATAAAAATATCCTCGGGTGAGGATTTAAAAACAAACAAGCCTTGCCCTGGCCGGTTTGGCTCAGCAGTTAGAGCATTGGCCTGCGGTCCGGAGAGACCCGGGTTCGGTTCCCACTAAGGGCATGTACCTTGGTTGCAGTTTGTCCCCGGCCCTGGTTGGGTTGTGCGGGTGGCAACCACTCGATGTGTCCCTTTCATGTCGATGCTTCTCTCTCTCTCTCTCTCTCTCCCCCCCTCCCACTGTATCTGAACAAAATATGGAAAAATGTCCACGGGTGAGGATTAAATAAATAAATAAATAAATAAATAAATAAATACAAACAAGCCTCTCTCTATAGCCAAGGTACTGCAGGGCACAAATGAAAACACAGGAAAATAAGACCAGTGCCATTTGATTAATTAGCTAGAAATGCAAGTGTATGTCTTCTGGGTCTGCTCTTAGATGTCTGGTACAGAAGCAGGACTAACAATAATAAAATCACAGTATTTCCAATATGCTTAGATTTATATATGTGTTATATAGCCACCATGAAGTAAAGAATTAAGATTTATCTTCCAGAATGAAAACAAACTATAAAGAAATAAATGTCTTACTGTTATTTAAAATATATATATTTATCTTCCATTCATGCACAAATGGGAACTCTCCTGCTCAGACAGGGGAAGAGGGCAGGGAAGGGGAAAAGAAATTAGGAGGGCGGCAAGGGAAAAATCCATGGAAAAAGCCACCTACCCGTTCATGGAGGACACTAAACAGCGTGCCCACAGTAATTCGCTCATAAACCAGGCGGGTCTTCTCCAGGTCCTGGGACACGCAGACAGCCATCAGCTGCAGCAGGTGGCGGTGCCGCAGTTTGCTGCAAAAGAAACTTCAGATGAGGCAGAAGCAGGACAATGATGAAAAAAGAAAGGGTGCTTTCCTTTCTTCTAGGCCCCTTGAACACATTCTAAACAAATACCATTTTGTACACAAAGTTTTTCTAAGAAAACAGGATAGGGTAGGTGGGGTTCTCTGTTGGAATCTGTGGCCTCTCACTGATCAGATCCTTAGGGCTTAGAGTCATCAATGACAATGTCACTAAGAGCTACTGAGCGAGGCAACTGCCGTATATCATCTCCAACCTAACAACCACCTTCAAGAAATGTTATCATTATAGTCATTTTAGAGATGAGGAAACCAAGGTCAGGGAAATGTCAGGAACCTGCCCAAGGTCACACACCCCACTGAGTCTCATGTCAGAGTCCATGCTGTGCCTAAGCCCTTCAAGCCTCCTTGGGTCCCTTTTGGCTCTGACACACTTGCTGCAGGAGTTGTGACCTTCTCAGGAAAGAGCTCAATGAGCCAGGGTCCATTCCCAGGCCTCAGCAGCCCTAGTGCAAACCAAAAGTCAAGCTCCTGCATCAGCAAGAGCTGAAGGACCCTGGAGCCACACACAACCTAAGGTACTGAGACCCATAGGTGGGTCCTCAGTGCAGACACACAGTTCCTCAGATGCATGGATCTCATGCACAGCCATGTCTATGAAGTCAGGACAGCATGCTGTCCCGAAAACAGGGCAGACCTCAAGGGCTATAGCAGGAGAGCCAGTGGGCCTGGAGGCTGGACCATCAGAGATATGAGTTACAGGAAAGTCAGTCAGAATTGACCCCCTCACCACTACCATCCCCACTCCTCAGGCTTCTTCTTTTTCTTTTTTGGCAGCCCCTGGAAATCAAATCAACCAATAGTCAGGAAATTCTGAGGCTGAGGGGGTTTGGTCTCCACACCCCAGGCACCCTAGGTAGCCTTGAACAGCCCTGAACCTGAGTCTGTAAAGAGCCTGGACCTGTAATGCCCTTGGGCTTCTTTCTCACCTGCTGTGCTCCTGCTCAGCAATTAACAAGTCAGCCAGCTGCAGCTTGCTGCAGTGCGGGTGGGTGGGGAGATTCAGCTCCTTCACTGTGACCCTGCTCCCATTCCACACCAGGCTGCAAGGGCAGGAGAGAGTTTGAGCAGAAACGGGTAAGCTGCCAGTTCTTCAGTGAGTTCTCCAGCCAGAGATCAGAGTAGTGTTTACACAGAACTTGTAAAGCACCCATTGGGTCTTCCCTCCTCCTCCCTTGAGGTCCTAAAGCACCTTGAGGAACTTAGTACAGGTGGCAGGAAGTCACTGGAAGATTTAAGGAATGGAGTAACTCAACCTGGTTTGTATTTTAGAAAGACAATGGTATCAGCAGTGTGGAAAATGGTAGAGCAGGGGTGGTCTGGAGAAGGGGAAGCCAGTTAGGAGGCGAGTCTGGGTGAGGAATAGTGATGACTTGGGCAAAAGCCACAGCAATGGATAGAGAGGAGGAAAGGACTTGATGGCAAATCTGGTGGCATGGGCAGGAAAACAAAGAGGCATATCTGCAGGGGACAGAGAGCCTTGCTGAGTCTGGCAGAGGTCGTTTCAGAAATGAGTTTTTCTAAGCAAAAAAGTGTCCAGTTTCAAGGAGGCCAAGAGAGCTTGACCAGAACAACTCCCGTGACCCTGCAGAAGAAGGCAGGTCTCCCACGGACTTCTGTCATAGCCAAATCCTGTTACTGCTGCCTCTGCTGCATTTGGTTGGTGAGGGCTGCAGCTAATACTAGTTCCAGCTTCTATGAGCAACTCAGAACCCTCTGGCCTGTATCAGAGGCCAGACAGTTACAACTATACTGCCTCTAACTCTCTAGAAAGCAGGAAGATTAAAACATGGTCCTGAGCGTTGGCTGGCAGACCAAAGATTCTAGGATTCGATTCTTGTCAAGGGCATGCGTACCTCCCTTGCGATTAGATCCCTGGCCCTGGTCGGGGTTGTGCAGAAGGCAACTAATCAATGTCTCTCTCTCTCGCATATCTCCCCCTCCACCCCCCACCCCTGCTCCCCTTCCCACTCTATCTAAAAATCAATGGAGAAATATCCTCGGGTGAGGATTAAAAAATAAATAAATAAATAAAACATGATCATGAGTAATCTTTCAGAGCAGTTGTTCTCAACCAGAGGCCATTTGGCAGTGTCTGTAGACATTTTGGTTGTTACAGTCACAACTGGAGGGAGTGGCCAAGAGGGCTGGTACTGGCACCTAGAGTAGAAACCAGGGATGCTCCTAAATATACAATGCACAGGACAGCCACCACCAACAAAGGGTATCCAGCCAAATATGTCAATGGTGTTCTCCATGCTGAGAATCCTTGATTCAGACAAAATGACCTTCAGTGTTAGGTTAGAAACCCCCATATAAGGAAATCACACAAAGCCCACACTTCCCATGGGTCTAAATCAGAACTCCCAATGGCCAGTTTCTGCTTACTTGGTCATGACCATGTAGGGGCCACTGCAGAAAGAGAAGGTAGGCTCATCATCAGCTTGAATCACTTCCTTTTCCCCAATTATTGGAAGAGATCCTAGATAGACCACCCGCTTCCTTGCTGAAAGATAAAACTAAAAAAAAAAGTACAGCTTCAAATTGTGGGGAAAAAAGAGAAAAAGTAAAATACCTCCAGAATCTTAGCCAGATAAAAATAATGATAGCTACTATTTACCAACTTGCCTAATACCTTTAAGGACATTATTCTATAATTTATACTATTTTTAATCTTCCTAGAAACCCTGCAAAGTTATAGTATCCTTCCCCTTTTACTAGTAAGAAAACTGAGGCTCATGGAAAGAGGTCAGACACCTGCCTGAAGCACTGACTTGGGGCTCGGGGGCCTCTGGTGGCCCCCACAGAACCCAGGCCTGTACGCAGCCAAAGCCAACACTCCTCCTCCCAGCCCACCCCAAGCTACCTTGCCACAACCAACTGGGGGCTGAGCTGTCAGCAAACATCCCCCAGCCACCCAGCAACATTTCCCAACTGTCTCTCTCTTTGATGGGCAGAACCAAGGATCCAAAAGGATCTTTTCCCTCAATTCAAAATTTCAACTCCTTAATAGCATTCCAACAACACACATAAGCCTCTAAGAGAGCAAGGTCAAGCACAAATAAGACCCACAGGGTCAGTGCATCTCTTTGCCTCTCTACAGCAAGACCACGTCTGACACCTTCACTGGGATTTAAAGGATTATTTCCTAAATTCCCCAAATCTAGCCCAAGGTCATTCAAGAGATCTCTGTAGTTTCCACCTTTTTTTCAATAAGGACAGCAACAGTACATGCCCTGCAAAAGTGATAAAGGAAAAAAAACCCACTTTGGAGACAATTAGAAAGATGAGTTGGACTAAGTTGAGGGACACACAGGTTCAGGAGGAGGGCCAGGTGACTGTCCAGTTAGTTCTGCAAACACTGGCTATCAATGTCAACTTCTTACCTTCCCAAAGCCAAAGCTGTAGATATTTTGGTCAGAAATGACTCCAGCTCTACGCGGTCGGTTAGGAGGGCCATTAGGGCTTCTAGATATATTTAAAAGAGGAAATAAAATGAGGATTAACCACCCATTATCCAGAGGGACAGTGATGAACCAACCAAGTTTGCAGAACGTGTACTGGGTTTTGTCTTTACTACTTGACTAGTTATCATGGAACTACAGGTGATATAATAGCCAGCCTCTCAGAGGGCACTTATGATTCTCATCTCAGGTATTCATGCCCTTGTGTAGCCCCTCACAGGTCAGATAAGTCTGACCTGTTAACCCAATAAGATATCGCAGAAATAACAGACTTCCAAGGCTAAACCCACCATGGCTTCTCTTAAGTCACTTGCTCTGGACGAGGACAGCTGCCATATTGTAAGGACATTCTAGCAGCCCAACGGGGAAGCCCAACACCCAGCCATGTGAGTGAGCCATCCTGCAACTGTATCCTCCAGCCCCAGTCAAGCCTTCAAGGTGACTCCAACCCCAGCTGACATCTCTATTACAACTTTGTGAGAAACCCTGAGCTAGAATCACCCAACTAAGCTATTTCCTGATTCCTGACCAACAGAAATGATATGAGATACAAATGTTTGCTGTTGTTAGAAACTGCTAAATTGGGGGGTAGGATGATTAATTATGCAGCAACAGATAATGAATACAGATGATCAAAGGTTGAAGAATCATAATGCTTATTTTGTCTACCTTTCTCATTTTACAGATGGAAAAAGTGGAGCCAGAAAGGGGAAACCTGCTGGCCTGGGGTCAAAGAGCAGCAGCAGGGACTAGGCCTGGGACCTAGACAGTCTGCCAAGATCCAAACACTGGTTGGCCAGGAGGTGTGTGTATGTGTGAGAGGGGGTGAGGAATTGGACCAAGCAGGGGCACAGAGGCCAGTTGAGGAATGTGGGAGTGTATCTTGACAGTCATGGGAAAGACCCTAAAAAGGTTTCTAGCCGTGAGTGGCACAACCCAATTTCCATTTTTAACAGGTGATTCTGGATTCTAGATAAAGAACCAAGACCAGCAAGAGTAGCAGCAGGGAGAGCGGTTAGGTGACTCTGATCCTCAGGGGCATCTCTGACTCATCTTCCTGGAAGCCAGTGGCAATCAGGTCATCAGAGGAAAACCAGGACTCCATGTGCATGAAAGGACAGGATGAGAAAGCCCTCAAGAGTGTGACAAGTCTAGCCACCCTAACTACAGAAAGAGATACCATTAGAGAAAACAAAAATGAAAAGGATTCTCTGAATACAAAACCTAAGTCAATAAAGTCCCTGAGTATTTAAAATAACTCTAAGCCTGGGGCCAGTCTCCTGCAGCTGCCCACCCAGCTAGCAGCAAATCTCTCACACCGGTTTAAAATAGCCTAAGGAACTATAAATTAAGCAGTTGTGGTATTTTGAGACCTCAGTAATAAAGAAACATGCTTTCCATAGTTCAAGATGTCAAAATAAAAAAGTATTTCAGAGGCTCTGAGAAAGAGTTTTCTGCTAAACTACCCAGACCTGAAAAGTTCCTTCTTTGCTAAGCACAGGGTGGAGCCTAGAGCTCATCTCCCAGGACATTCCTGGAAGGAGGGCATGGCCAAAGGTGCTCCTCTGGCTGTCCTTTTTCAGTGGCCACATCTCCTTCGGAGTTCATCCCTATGGGTGGGCCAGGTGCTGGAGGGACCTATTGCAGGGGTTCCATGAGGGAGGCGGTGGTGATGCAGAACAACCCACTCTGCTGCAGGCAGCACTCACCCCTGCATGAGGCCCCCAAACCAGGGCAGGTTGCAGATGAGCCGCTGAGTGCAGTCAATCTTCTTCAGGAGGTCATGGGAGAAGTCCTGGATGATGGCCTGCATGTGCAAGGCACAGCGATGCATGAACTCCACCATCTGCAACACCAGAGATGCTCAGTGCTGGCAAATCGAGAGGCCACTGGCCCTTCTGGGAACTGTGAAGTGGCCTGAGGTGACTGGTCTGACAGGAAAGGAAGGGGCCCAAGTGATTTTCTAAAGGTATGAAATGTTTACAGGGAGATGTTGGCAATAATTTTCTCCAATTGCCGCTTCCTTCAACAGATGAAGAAACTGAGTCAGGAAGAGTGAAATGATTTGTCCAAGGTCCAACAGCTAAAGAGCAGGAGAACCAGAGGAAGGGAAGTGAAGGGAGAAAATTCTGCCCACCTCCCTGCTTTCCTCCATGTGCCCAGGGCTGTGCATGTCATTCATGCTTTACATTTTTGTTATTTAGTCCTCATTAGAACACATCACACCTGCCAGAATGTGGCCTCAGGAAAGTTACTTCATGTCAATGGGCCTCTGTTTCCCCATCTATAAAATGCGATTAATAGTATCTCCCCGGGAGGGTCGTTGTGAAGATAAAATGAATTAATATTTAACTAATTTAATTACAATGTCTGATGTGTGATAAGTGCTATTTAAGGATCAGACAAAATAACAACTGTTCTTCCCCACTGAACGAATGATCAGAAAATTTTACTAGACTTGCCTAAGGTTCTACAGCTGATTAACTTGCTTCTGCCCAGACCTGTGTGTCCAGTGCCAAATGGCAAGGCCACTGCAAGCCTTGTGCTGTCCCCAGGACCAGCCTCTGGCCCCTGGGCTCCTGACTCCCAGCCCAGCACTCTGCTTTGAATGTGGCTCTGCAGAGTGGGTCCACCCTTACCATAGTGCTGTGCTCCTTCCTGGCTGTAAGGGCCCAGGTCTGTGCATTTTGACCCTTCTCATCATGGAGTCGAAGGTCACCCCCTGCATCCAACAGTTTGCTGAGGATCCACTGATTGCCTGAAAATGCTGCTGCGTGGACAGGAGTACTCCCATCAAAGCAGCGGCTGAAGAGGAATACAATGAGTGTCCATAGCAACACTCCTCCTCCCTTCCATGGGGAGGGGGTGGGGATTCAATGGGTGACAAAGGGCTCCCTTTCTACAGAGGTGACCTTTGGTGATGAGGATTATAATCATACCATTTGGAAGGCCCCAGGTCTGTGCCAACATGAGCTTTACACACATCCCCTTTCTCCATCCTTACCTCTACCCTTCAAGGCACTATCATTTCTCAAGACATAGGTGAGGAAACAAAAGGCAAAGCTGAGGGTCACTCCCAGATATGGGTGTGGTTCCAAAGTGGTGTTCTTTCCCCCTTTAACCCCTGACACTGGCTGCCTTGAAATAATTTCTTCATGTTTGTTGAGTCCTGGGGTCAGGCTGGTGAAGTACAGCCTAACCAAAGACCATCTCTCTCATGTGAGAATGTCTCCATCTTTCAACTCCTATCATAGAGGCCCACAATCCTTGGCATGAGCAATCTGGTCAAGGATCTACAACTCAGAAAAAAGTCTCCAAACTCCAGACCCCACAAATCTCTTGAACAGAGGCAACTCCAGTACAAGTTTCTATATCCTTCCAGAAATGTCCTATGCATATACAAGTAGGAATAAGAATGTTATAGCCCTGGCTTGTTTGGCTCAGTGGTTAGAGTGTCGGCCTGAGGACCAATGAGTCATGGGTTTGATTCTGGCCAAGGGCATGTACCTCAATTGCGGTTCATCCCTGGCACTTGTTGGGTCCTGCAGGAGGCAGCCAGTCGATGTGGCTCTATCACATCGATATTTCTCTCCCTCCCTCCCTCCCACTCTATCTGATGATATATAGAAAAGTATCCTTGGGTGAGGAATTAAAAAAAAAAGTGTTATATATGCCTGGCTGGTGAGGTTCAGTGGTTGAGCATCGACCCATGCACCAAGAGGTCACCAGGTCGATTCCCAGTCAGGGCACATGCCCAGGTTGGTTGTGGGCCCAATCTCCAGTGGGGGGCATTCCAGGAGGCAGCCAATAAATGTTCTCTCTCCTCGATGTCTTTATCTCTCTCCCTCTCCCTCCTCTCTCTCTAAAATCAATAAAGAAAAGTTATTTTTTTAAAAAAGAATGTGCTATATATTGTTCTGCACCTAAAATTTTTTTGCTTGTTTGTTTTTGTTTTCAATTAAAGAGAGAACACTCTTATTGTGTCCAAGATACAGTGAGATGTGATCTGTAGCTGTGGTTTCCTAACCTGGTTGCACATCAGAATCACCTGGAGAGCTTTCTCTCTTTAACTGATCACTGGAGAAAGACACTGGACAAGGGGAGAATAGACACATGCCTGGGTGACATAGGAAGGTACTTGCCTGTCAGTCACACCTGGGAACAGGTCATTGGCCAGAATGGGCATGGCCACTGCAAGTTCAGGAAGATTTGAGATATTTAACCCCCTAAACAAAGAAGTTCGCTGTCTTGTGTTTTCAGGACTCTTGGAACTCCTATTGCAGGGGGCATGCTCTCTAGGTTCGCCTGCATTCACCCACATAGCCCACAGCTGTGTGAACCCCACACACAATGGACTGATGGACTGCAGCTAGCCTGATACTGTGCTAGACCCAATTCCAACATAGAAGGGATACTTTGGTCACTGGCTTTGCTCTTTTTTTCTTTAAGTAATTTATTGATTTTTTAGAGAGAAAGGAAGGGAGAGAGAGAGAAAGGAAGGGAGAGAGAGAGAAAGGAAGGGAGAGAGAGAGAACTATCCATGTGAGAGAGACACATCGATTGGCTGCCTCCTGCACGCCCCCACACCGGGGATCGAGCCCGAAACCCAGGCATGTGCCCTGACCAGGAATCGAACTGGGACCTCTCAGTCCATGGACAACGCTCAATCCACTGAACCACACCGGCCGGCTGGTTTACTCTTAACTCTACTGAATCCCCAGCTGCACTTCTTCTAGGACTGGATTAAGAGAAATGGGACTTTGCAAACCAAGGGATGTAATTCCACAAAAATAAAGCTTTCTACCACATCTTATCCTCCTGTGGCAGCCTCCACAAATGCTTAGTCAAATGGTACCCCAAGAACACAACTCACTAGCAATGGAGAAAGACCATCCATGCTTTTCTCTGATAGCAATCTCTGTTGAGAAAATGGTTGTAAAGATCTAGAGAGCTTAATGCCTGGGAAGGCCCTGGGAAAATCAAACGTGTTATACAAAGAAAAGGAATGTTCACTGGTAAAGCTAATTCATTACACTGTGTTGCTGTTCCATATTAAAATTTGGACCAAATTTTAAACCACAACTACAAGAGCCAGGCAAAAATCATCCTGATAAAGTGATGACAAGTATATTAATTGGTACAAACTTGGTTGTGGGGTATATTAAACTGCTTAAATTAATCCTACAAATTATAACGTGGGTGGAAATATGCAAACCATGCTATTAATGATTAATTAATGAATTACTAATGTTTCACTTCACTTATTTCATAAGGCCTAGTAAGGCCTTTTATTAGCTACATACGTATTAGCAACATACATATACAACTATATTTCACTAATATGTTAGTAAAAGTTCCTTTATTATTTTGTCAAATTAGTTTCCAAACGCCCCAACTCATTTTAACAGCATATACTACTACTTATTTTCTAGATATTGATGTTATTGCACTTACTGATTTGGGTCTGATCCATAATCCACAAGAATATCAACTAATTTCGTAAGGCCTAATAACGATGCAAGGAAAAGCGCTGTCTGGCCCAGGGAGTTAACTGCATCAACATAAATCCCTACAAAGCAAATATCAGAATCAATGTAAATAACAGGACATTTCCTGAAATAAAACTAAAATACCAATATTAGAGAAAAACGTTAAAATTCCTCTACACAGCACTTCCATGCATTACTACTTTAAACTGTTTCTCAAAAAAGGAAAAATGAAGGCCTTCATTAGACACACAAACACAAAAGCTACAGATTAACTAAAAAGTAACCACAGTTGCCTTGTGAAGAAAAAATGTTACTCTACTCAAAAAGCTGCATCAAAGCAGGGGAGAAGGGGTTAATATAAAGAAAAAAAGACAACTCACATCCTAATAACTGAAACCAAACGGCAAACAAAAGTAACTGCCCTGGACTTCCGGCTGGGGTTTTGTCCCGACAGGACTGTGCGGGGGCAACCACTTGATGTGTCCCATTCAGGACGGTGTTTTTCCTCTCTCTTTCTCCACTCGTCCTGCCCCACCTGAATACTTAATAGAAGAACTTATACCGAATGAAAAACCAAGAAGTATAGCCATTTTTAAATATGCACATCACCACTAGAAACTAACTTTTACCGTAAGAAGAATAATCGGACCCACACCCACACCACGAAACATGGCATCTTCCTTTAGCATGCAAGTTCTAGAGGAACCACTCAGACTGCGTTTTCTTCCTCTTATTCTCTCATCGAGAGAAAAGAACGATCATCAATGGTCAATGGCAGTTGCATAAGCAACACCAGAAACCGGCTTCACGCTCAGAAGAAAACACTGCACCTCTTCCTCGTGGTTTCGGGTGCTCTACACATTCAGAGAAACTTCTCTAGTAACGAACTATAGAAATGATCCCTGAAAGTATAGTCTTAACCTTACAGCTGCTGCTTTTCCAAAGTGAATGAAACCCACACATATTACAATGATGGTGAATTTTTCTAACAGTGCTATTTCTACCCAAATATATACTGGCGTGTGTTTTCTGAAAACAGTTTCATTCCCAAAGCTCGACAAAGCGTTTTTGAATACTCTCGTGTTTCCAAAGACAGTTCGAGCTGTCACTTAAATTAACATAAGATTGTTAAACAGCCAATCACAGACCACTTATTTCCAACCCTGCCCCGCTTCTCATGGCAGTTCCGCAGTCAAGTTTACGGAAACGCTGACGACTACAAAGTGCGCCGGTGTGTCAGGACAAGCCTCATTTTGTTTTCTTTTTTATAAGCAAGCCTGCCCTTTGCTCTGGAGACAGACATTACCTCTATTTTTTTTTTTTCTTTTGTGGTACGTGCCCCTAGCGGAAACCGAAACTAGGACACTCTGGTCCGCAGGTCGACGCTCAACCGCTGAGCCAAACTGGCCAGGGCAAGCCGCATTTTAGACGCGTAAGTGGAGACCTTTTACAAGAAAGTGCAGGATGGACCGACCAAAGCAGAACTGACCTTTGCAAAGTACGCCCTACTTTAAAATTTTGTCTTCTGATCAAACTACTAGGCATATAAGTGTGTTGTGGCACGAGAGAACCGAGAGACCACCAGAGCCAAATTAAAGCCAAATAGAGAGGAAAGCCGGCCGGCGACTGATCCCCAGTTCTCAGAGACCAGCCCTGGGGCCTCCAAATGTTGTGGCAGGACAGTCAAAGAAAGACCACTAGAGAATTGAAGTCCAAATAAGAGCCATTTATTAGCCAGCCGGCGTCTGATTCCGAACACCCCTGTGACAGAGTCTTCAGAATCGGCCCCGATATGCTTTATTACATATATGCCTTTTATACCTTACGGAAAATAGGATCTTGATATAATGCCCAGGGCCACAGCAATGTTGTATAGAATTACTTTGCCTTACGGATAACAGGAACACCCATGTAGTCTCCACGTCCCATATAAAGAAGAGGCAAGCTATATAACAGCTCTCTTGCCCCAACCTACTTCTATTTTGCACCCCATCAGAGCTCCTAGTTTGAGATGGACTGGTGCCAAATTCATGAATTGCTTAATAAACCCAATGAGACCTTCAGATTTACCTGGTTGAATTTTTTTTTAACAAATCATTCCCTTGCTTAAACCTTCCTAGTTTCCCAGCTCTTGGGCTAAATAAAACCTATATAAATAGCTTGCGTGGCCCTGCAAATCTCTCTCCCTTACTGGGCTGTCTCCCTAACCTGTAGGGTAGGAACTGTCCAATTTGTGGGAGGCAACCCATGGATGTTTCTCTCTGCTTCTCCCCCGCCCCTAAAATAAACAAAAACTTATCCTCAGGTGAGGATTCAGGCCAGGCCAGGCCAGGGTCTGAGGGGTGGGACAAAGGAGCTATTAGGAAAAAAAGGATAATTTAGAGGTTGGATGTGTTTTCTTGGGAGAAAGAGAAAGGGAGGTGTTTTTTTGTTTTGTTTTTTTATTTTTTTTTAATTTTAAAGAGAGAGGAAGGGAGAGGGAGAGAGAGATAGAAACATTGATGAGAAAGAACATCAACTGGCCACCTCCCACATGCCCTCCTACTGGGGATGGGGCCCACAACCTGGGCATGTGTCCTGGCTGGGAATCGAACTGGTGACCTCTTGGTGCATGGGTCAACATTCAACCACTGAGCCACACTGGCCGGACTAGGGAAGGTTTTTTAAAACATGTAGCTTGCCTCTTTTTTAAAAAATTTTTTTCTTTATTGATTTTAGCGAGAAAGGAAGGGAGCAGGAGAAAGAGATGGAAACATCAATGAGAGAGAACATGGATTGGCCGCCTCCTGCATGCCCCCCACTGGGGATTTGGCCCACAACCTGGGCATGTGCCATGACCAGGAATCGAACTGGCAACCACTTGGTGCATGGATCAATGCTCAACCACTGAGCCACACCAGCTGGGCTTACCTCTTTTTCATATGAGGTATGGGGACTGCCTATGTGACAGATTACCTACTGGTGCTTGACCATAAACCCTGGCCAGTTTGGCTTAGCGATTAGAGCTTGGGCCTGAGTGTTTGGGTTTGATTCCCAGTCAAGGGCACGTACCTGGGTTGCAGGTTCAATCCCAGGTCCCAGCTGGGGTCATACAGGAGGCAACCAATCGATAATGTCTCTCTGACATCGATGTTTCTCTCTCCTCGTCCCTCCCTCCTTTCCACTTTATCTAAAAAAAAATAATTAATGGGAAAAAATATCCTCAGGTAAGGATTAACAACAAAAACCAAACTCCAGATGCAGAAGGGGGCACCTCATAACAACAAAAAGTCATGGAGATTATATGCTAAAGAACTATAATAGTTGAAAAAGATAAAATATGATAAAAACTAGGTTAAGAACTACACACTTCCCCTGGCCAGTGTGGCTGAGTTGGTTGCACGGAAGGTCTCAGGTTCATTCTGGGTCAAGGCACATACCTAGGTTGCAGGTTCAATCCCCTGTCAGGGTGCAGAGTGTCTGGGAGGCAATGTTATCTCTTTCACATCTTTGTTTCTCTCTTCCTCCCCCTCTGGAATCAGTACAATAAAATTTCCCCCCAAAATATTCAAGAACTACACACTCACTCTGTCAGTCTTTTTTTTTTCCCATTGGTTTTTTAGAGAGAAATGTTCACCTGCTGCTCCACTAACCCATGCATCACTGGTTGACTCCTACAAATGCCCTGAGGTTCAGATGAAACCATCAAGGTGGTGTAGATGACAGGACAGGGCCCACTATTTGAAAAAAAAAAAAAAAAAGACTTCCCAGCTGGTGTGGCTCAGTGGATTTCGTTAGCATCATCCCGTGAACTGAGAGGTCCTGGTTGATTCCCCACCAAGGCACATTCCTGGGTTGCGGGTTTGAGCCTTGGTAGAGGGTGTACAGGAGGCAGCCGATCGTGTTCTATCTCTCTCTCCCTCTCTTTCTAAAGAAAATCAATAAAAACATTTAAAAATAACAACAAAACCACTAAAGTTAGACAGTGTAAATGGTTAGAACATCATCTTCATACACCAAAGTTGCAAGTGAAATATCAACCAATGGAATAACAATCCCAACGCTTTTCTCTCAATTTTTTAAAAGCAGAAAATATGATGGAAACTAAAAAACAAAAGAATAACACCGACAAAACCCTCATGTTTAAACTAAAAGAGAAAAAAAAACAAAAACCACTCAAACTGCATTCTTTCCCTCTTGTCCTCCCAGAAGAAAAGAACATCATCAATGACTATTAATAACTATTAGCAATCATCAAAACAATACCAAAGCCACCTCCACGCTCAAACACCATGGTTTCAGGTGCTCTACACATGCAGAGATTTCTCTAGTCAAAAATTACAGAAATAGCCCCCAAAAGTATAGTTTTGACTTTGAGCTCCCTGCTTCTGGTTGGTGTATGGCAGCCGAGGACTTTTTACTCATGGTGATATTTTTTTTTTTTTGGTCAATTTAATCTTACAAATTGTTTTATTTCATATTTCATAAAAATTCCATTCAAGCCCTGGCCGATTTGGCTCAGAGGTTAGAGCATCGGCCTGCGGTCCAGAGAGACCTGGGTTCAGTTCCCGCTAAGGGCATGTACTTGGGTTGCAACTTGTCCCTGGTCCTGGTTGGGTCGTGCGGGTGGCAGCCACTCGATGTGTCCCTTTCACATCGATGTTTCTCTCTCTCTTCCTCTCTCTCCCTCCCGCTATATCTGAATAAAAAATGGAAAAATGTCCTCGGGTGAGGATAAAAAAAATAAATAAAAATAAAAATTCCATTCAATACCAAAGTTAAAAAAATCATTTTCACTTGTGAATCTTCCAGAAACATTTCAAAGCAGTAATAGGCATTATTAACATACAGCACAGCACAGCCAGTGTGGCTCATTTGTTGAGCATCGACCCATGAACCAAGAGGTCACCGGTTTGATTCCTGGTCAGGGCACATGCCCAGGTTGTAGGCCAAATCCCCAGTGGGGGGGCATGCAGGTGGTGGCCTATCAATGTTCTCTCTCATCAATGTTTCTCTTTCTCTCCCTCTCCCTTCCTCTCTCTCTGAAAAAAAAAAAATAAATAAATAAAAATTTTTTAAACATTTAAGTCAAAAGAAGGCAAAAATAGAAGAGAGAAACAAAAAACAGAGAGGACAAAGAGAGCAAACAATATAATAAAATGTTAGTTCTAAATCCAACCATGTCAACAATTACATTAAATGTTAATGGATTAAACAATTATGTAACACTGTATACCTAAAACTATACAATGAACACCCACACACATGGATGTGTTTTGGGGTAAACTGCAAAATTTTGAGAGGAATAAAAGACTTTTAAAATAAATTATTGAGCCTACTGTCAGCCACTTCATCTATAGACTCTAGGGGTGGTATATAAAACAGTTCAAGAACTTTTTGAGGAAACTATTTTATGGGATAGCTGGAGCCTACAAAAATTGGGGAGCCCTTCTGGAAGTCCTCAGGAAATGCTGTTGAGGCAAATGGAGAAACATTGTACAGAAAACTAGGTCACCCTGACTGTTCTAAAAACCACCAGAGAAGCTTCATAAGCCTCCCTTTCTTTTTCTTTTCTTTTTTTATCCTCACCCAAGGACATTTTTGCATTTATCTTCAGATAGAACAGGAGGGAGAAAGAGAGGAAGAGAGAGAGAGAAAAACATCGATGTGAGAAAGACACATCGACTGGTTGCCACCCACACGACCCCAACCACGGCCGGGGACAACCGGCAACCACGGTACGTGCCCTTAGCGGGAACCAAACCCGGGACTCTCTGGTCTGAGGGCCGACGCTCTAACTGCTGAGCCAAATCTGCCAGGGCAAGCCTCTCTTTCAATACTAAGAATAGAGAAGCACCCCAGTCTGTGTGGCTCAGGGGTTGAGCATCGACCTATGCACCAGGAGGTCCCTGGGTTGATTCCCAGTCAGGAGACATGCCCAGGTTATGGGCTCAATTCCCAGTAGGGGGCATGCAGGAGGTAGCCAATCGGTGATGATGTTTCTCTCTCTTCCTCTCCCTTCCCTTCTCTGAAATTGATACAAATATATATATTTTTAAAAAGAACACAGAGCCCTGGCTGGTTTGGCTCAGCAGTTAGAACGTTGGCCTGCAGTCCAGACAGACCCGGGTTCGGTTCCCGCTAAGGGCATGTACCTCGGTTGCAGTTTGTCCCCGGCCCTGGTTGGGTCGTGTGGGTGGCAGCCACTTGATGCATCCCTTTTACGTCGATGTTTCTCTCTCTCTCTCTCTTCCTCTCTTCTCCTTCCCGCTATAGCTGAACAAAAAATGGGAAAATGTCCTCAGGTGAGGATAAGAAAAAAAAGAACAGAGAGGGGAATCCAGTAGGACCGGTTACTCTGAAAAAAGCAGGTCTAGATCTCCAACTCAGAGGCCAAATACCAAAGAGGTTTTGTTCATGTGTGGCTTTTTGTGTTTGTTCTTTTGAAGATTACCTGAGCTATGTGTGCTATTTATGTCTGCCCTGTAGGCTGAGCTGCCTGCAGCCTCCAGCAAAAACCCCCTGGAAACAAAAGCACCAAGTGCTTGGAAGGAGCAAGGACGAGAAGAGCTGTGAAAGGTGGCCTCAGTGGATGGAACAGATTTGAAGGAAAAAAGGGAATCAGGCAGAATCAATGGCAGGAGGTCAGGGCCTGAGGAGAAACCTTAGGAAACTAAAGTAGGAAGACCTTGTGGTTCCCTAGCACAAAACTAAACAAAACAACCTTCAAACAATGATTAAAAACCTCCAGTGAACTATATGACTACACTGGTAGAGAACAACTCATCTCATTAATTTAACTTCTGATTTCCCCAAGAATTCATAGTTTTAGTATACACCTGTTTTTCCTTCCAAGGCTATTTAGAAATGTGAACCAAGTTGCACCTGCCATTTCACCACAGTGCCTACCTTTTTTAAGAATCTTCTTCACTTTTATATAGCTTCCTTCTTTGACATATTCATGAAGCTGAGCTTCCAATGAGTCATCTTTTAAGGAACCAAGCCGAACGGGACAAGGGATTGGAAGATGAACAGCCCGAGACATCCTGTTTCAAAAGAAAGCAGCATGCTTATTCTAACTGAATCAGAAATGTAAGCAAGCAACTTAGATTCTTTCGCATTCTTTTTTTTAATTAAAAAATATTTTTTACATATTTCTTTCACTTCTGTCCATTTTCATTTATAATAAAAAGGATTAGGGGAACAATTACTGAAATTCTACAAGAATAACTCTTTTTTTATCCTCACCTGAGGACATTTTTCCTTTTTTTTTTTGTTCAGATAGACTGGGAGAGAGAGAGAGGAACAGAGAGAGAGAGAGAGAAATATCAACGTGAAAGAGACACATTGAGTGGCTGCCTCCCACACGACCCCGACCAGGGCTGGGGATGAACCTCAACAGAGCTTGACTGGAATCAAACCCACAACTCATTGGTCCATGGGCCAACGCTCTAACTGTTGAGCCAAACTGGCCAGGGCCAAGATTAACATGTATTCTCAATATTACTGTTGAAATTGAAGAACTGACTATATTTATTACTAATTCCCAGGACTGAAATAGTAATGACTAGTAGGAAGTAAAATTAGAAATAAACATGCTTGTTGTATCATTAAGATAACTATGTAACTCTGAAAAGTTAATACACAAATGCAGTCATTATGTAAGAAAGCAGACAGGCCCTGGCCAGTTTGGCTCAGCTGTTAGAGCATCACGTCCCAGGTCGTGGTGGGGTCATTTGGGAGGTAACCAATGTGTCTCACATTGATGTTTCTCTCTCTCTCTCTTCCTCCCACTCTATCTGAAGATAAATAGAAAAATATCCTAGAGTGAGGATTAAAAAACAAAAAAGAATACAGACAGTATAACATAATGAGTTGGGTACACAGTTCAGCCTCTGAAGCTCTTTCGCCCCCTAAATATGTGACCGTGGAACAATTATTTAACCTTGATAGGCCTCAATTTCTTCCTCTGTAAATGGGGATAATAATAGCCAGAGGATTGCTAAGAAATTGAAATGAGCTAATATGTGTAAAAAGTTTAGAACTGAGCTTGGCACCAAGTGAGCTCTCTGTGTTGTTAGCTGTTACTGTACATGATATGAACCACGCTGAGAAATTTTAACTTTCTACATGTGGCATCCACATCTGACCATAATACAGTCATGTATTTGTGCAGCACCTACCATATGTCTCAAGTGTGACAGGTGCTATGTAAGACACCTAAAAGTGGATCACTGCCATCAAAATGCTCAGACTAGCCCTGGCCGGTTTGGCTCAGCCGTTAGAGCATCGGCCTGCGGTCCTGAGAGACCCGGGTTCGGTTCCCGCTAAGGGCGCGTACCTCGGTTGCAGTTTGTCCCCGGCTCTGGTCAGTCGTGTGGGTGGCAGCCACTCGATGTGTTCCTTTCACATCGATGTTTCTCTCTCTCTCTCTCTTTGGTTCTCTCTCTCCCTCTCTCTCTACCTGAACAAAAAATGGAAAAATGTCCTCGGGTGAGGATTAAAAAAAAAAAAAAAATGCTCAGACTAGCAGGGCAGACAAGTAGCACCATGTTGGTGTTCCATAGAGAATGGGTAAGAGAAGGGAGTTGCATCCACATGAATCAAGGAGCATTCACATCAAGGGCATAACTAACTGCTACATAGAGACCAGAGGGTGTGATATGAGGTGAAGTAAAAGGAAAAGCCATAAAGGCTGACACATTTGGTAGGTCTTCACCAGCCAGGAGGCTTTTAAGTTACTGAGAAGTAACACCTTAATTTATCCACTGACAAAACGTGGAAAATGCTAATAATACTTTATTTCCTTTGGTATTTGTTAACATCCACATCAGTGACTAAAAGCATCCTAGTAATTCAGTAACTTTCGTAAGCAACTAGTAACTAAAAACATACTGTTTAGTTTAAATAACTGAGCCTGGCTGGTGTGGCTAACTAGTTGAACATCTACCCAAGCACCAAGAGGTCATTGGTTCGATTCCCAGTCAGGGCACTTGCCCAGGTTGTGGGCCTGATCCCCAGTGGGAGGCATGCAGTAGGCGGCCAATCCATGTTCTCTCTAGATCTTTCTCTCTCTTTATTTTATTTATTTTATTTTTTTTTAATTTTATTTATTTTTTTTATAGGCTTTTTATTTTTTTATTTATTTTTTATTTTTTTGGTACGTGCTCCTAGCGGGAACTGAACCTGGAACTCTCTGGTCCGCAGGCCGTCGCTCCAACCGCTGAGCCAAACCGGCCAGGGCTCTTTCTCTCTCTTTAAAATCAATAAAGAAAAAATACTTAAACATGAATTGAAACTTTTATAGTAATTCGCCATGCCCTATACCCACTTCTGCCTCCCTTCTATTTTCAGGTATTAAAAAAGAGTGGTGCCCTGGCCGGTTTGGCTCAGCGGTTGGAGCATCTGTGGACCTGAGGGGTCGTGGGTTTGATTTCCAGTCAAAGGCATGTATCTGGATTGCAGGTCTGATCCCACCTGGTGAGGGTTGGGCAGGAGGCAATCAATCGCTGTGTCTCTCTCACATCGATATTTTTCTCTTTCTCCCTTCCACTCTGTCTAGAAAGCAATGGAAAAATGTCTGTGGGTGAGGATTTAAACAACAACAAAAAAAAGTGGCACATTGCTATGGTGTGGATGGCTATGGGGGCTGAACTGTATTTCTCCCTCCATTCATATATTGAAGCCCTTACCCCTAGTACCTCAGACTATAACTCTATTTGGAGATAAAGTCTGTTGTTGTTAATCCTCACTGGAGGATATTTTTCCATTGAATTTTAGATAGAGTGGAAGGCGTTGGCCTGCGGTCCAGAGAGACCCAGGTTCGGTTCCCACTAAGGGCATGTACCTTGGTTGCACTTGTCCCTGGCCCAGGTTGGGTCGTGCGGGTGGCAACCACTCGATGTGTCCCTTTCACGTCGGATGTTTCTCTCTCTCTCTCTTCCTTTCTCTCCCTCCTACTCTATCTGAATAAAATAAATAAAAATAAGTTTAGATAGAGTGGAAGGGAAGGTGGGAGGGAGGGAGAGACACCAATGTGAGAGAGAGACATCAATTGGTTGCCTCCCACACAACCCCAACAGGGGCTGGTGATTGAAACCTGCAATCCAGGCACGTGCCCTTGACGGAATCAAACCTGAGACCCTTCAGTTCATAGGTCAATACTCTATCCACTGAGCCACACCTGCCAGGGTGGAGATTAAGGTCTTTAAAGATGTGATTAAGTTAAAATACAGCTGTGAAAGTGGGATCATAACCCTGGCCAGTTTGGCTCAGCGGTTGAGCGTCGGCCTGCAATAATAATAATAATAAATAAATAAATAAAGTGAGGTCATAATCCAATATGACGGTGTCATTTTAAGAAGAGGAAAAGACTTCAGCTTCAGGGGTACATGCAGAGGAACCACCATGTGAAAAAGGCAATAAGAAGCCCTGACCAGTTTGGCTCAGCAGATAGAGCGTCGGCCTGTGATCCAGAGAGATCTGGGTTCAGTTCTCGCTAAGGGCGCGTACCTCGGTTGCAGTTTGTCCCTGGCCCTGGTTGGTCCTGTGGGTGGCAGCCACTCGATGTGTCCCTTTCATGTCGATGTTTCTTTCTCTTCCTCTCTCTCCCTCCCACTCTATCTGAACAAAAAATGAAAAAATGTCCTCGGGTGAGGATAAAAAAAAAAAAAAAGGCAACAAGAGGATGGCCATCTGCAAACCAAGGAGAGAAGTCCCATAAGAACCCAACCCTTCTGGCACCTTGATCTTGGACTTCCACCCTCCAGAACTGTAAGAAAACAAATTTCTGTAGTTTTTTTTTTTTGGTACATGCCCTTAGCGGGAACCGAACCCGGGACTCTCTGGTCCACAGGCCAATGCTCCAACAGCTGAGCCTAACCGGCCAGGGCTAATAAGTTTCTTTTTTGGGGGGAGAGGGGGTACGTGCCCCTAGCGGGAACCGAACCCAGGACTCTCTGGTCCATAGGCTGATACTCCAAGAACTGAGCCAAACCGGCCAGGGCCGAATTTCTGTAGTTTAAACCACCCAGTCTATAGTATTCTATGGTAGCGCTGGCAAACTAATGCACTAAAAATAGCAAATTATGTCATGTTTTCTTGAAAGAGGAGTCTATAGTAACTACCTCCACTTCATCTATCCATTCAGCTGGACTGCACCTGCACTGAGGGCCTGCTAATGTGGCAGTCTTCCCCATTCTCCTGACCAATATTGCGCTGCTGGCAAGTCCTCAATATCTTCTTACAACTGGACAAATCCAAAGTGCATTTTCAGGCTCTGTCATACTGGAATGTTCACCTGTATGTGACACTGCTGCTTCATCTTTTATTGCTTATTTATTTTACTGTGGTAAAATATATACAACATAAAATTTACCATTTTAAACATTTTTAAGTGTTCAGTTCACTAGCATTGAGTATATAAACAATGTTGTGCAACCATCTATCTCCAGAACTCTTTTCATCTTCCCAAACTGGAACTTCATACCCATTAAACACTAACTCCCCAATCTCTCCACCTCGCAGCCCCTGGCAACCACCTCTTCTAAAGGCTGAATAATTCTCCATTATATATACACACATGCACAACCCGTTTTATACGGTTAGGTTGATTTCACCTTTGGCTCTTGTGAACAATTCTGATTCCACCTTTGGCTCTTGTGAATAATGTTACCATGAAAAGGGATGTACATACCTCTTCAAATCCGTTTTCTTTCTTTTTTATCCTCACCCGAGGACATTTTTCCCAGACAGAGTGGGAGGGAGAGAGAGGAAGAGAGAGAGAGAGAGACAGACAGACAGACAGACAGACATCGACGTGAAAGGGACACATCGAGAGGCAACCAGGCCCTGACAGACAGATAGACAGACATCGACGTGAAAGGGACACATCGAGAGGCAACCAGGCCCTGGGAAAAACTACAACCGAGGTAGGGTGCCCTTAGGCGGGAACCGAACCCAGGACTCTCTGAACCACAGGGCGACGCTCTAACCAAACTGGCCAGGGCTCAAATCCGTTTTCAATTCTTTTGTGTATGTATCTAGAAGTACGACTGCTGGATCTTATGGAAACTCCACGTTTAATTTTCTTGAGGAACTGTTTTCTATATTGGTCACATTATGTTCTTTGTATTCCCACCAGCAGTGCACAAGAAATTCAATTTTTTAAATATTCACCAACACCCCAGCAGTTCTCACTGGGAGTTTTACCTACAAACACATTTCACTAATTTACACTCAAGTTTCTCCTCTACATAATAACCTGGAGACCAAAGTCGATACTCAGACGCAGATATCAAACGAGAAAAACGAAAGTAGAAACAAATACAAGGCTTCTCACCAGCACTAATTACAAGAAAAAAATCATACATAATCCCGCTAGAACAGCAGAAACACGTACGCACAACCAACACTAATTAGCTACAAAAGGATAAAAACCCCGTACAAAAAAAACATGAGAACACCCATATCATGTCTAATTTTAAAAAACCACTTATTCAGGGGAGAGCGCGAACGCAGTCCCCCACTACCACAAATTATGCAGTCGAGTTTCCCACATTTGGGGAAATCGCAGGGGTCAGCACATCCGGAGTGCAATGGATAAGCCTCGCCCTGGGAAAACCACCTTCGTGATCATGGTATCTCCCCTGCCAGGTAAGTATGAGTTGCTTAGCTTGCCTGGCATTCCACCATCGTCCACAACACATTTTTAAGTTATGGTAAATTTTTTAAAAATTATATTGAGAGTTCTTTATGCCTTCGGTTCAAAATTACAGTGTTATTTATATAACAGAGACTAAGGGTACATTCTTTTAGCTATCTAGAGGAAACTCTGCCCGGTCACTACTCTCGAACCAGCAGTCTCCGCGCTCCTCATTTACATATCCCCGCTTCTTGTCACTCTACGTCTCTGACACTTGAAGCGACATTCACTCTATATAGGCCTGGTGACCATGCAGAAGACAATCGTCAACAGGTGCAGATGGGGCTAGTTTTCAATTCCTCGCCTTTCCGGCACAGGTTCTGGCGTGGATCTGTTATGACGAGTTTGCGTTCCGCGTTGCAGGGCAGGGCAGTTTGGGAGGCAGACGGGAAGGTTGCACAGTGGTTATGCCAGGGCTGAATCGCAGCTCCACTCTGGGCCTAGGCCATACCCTCAGTCTCTATAAATCTTCATCTCTACAGATTGTAAAGTGGGAGTAATATGCCTGCCTACCAAACAAGGTTTCTGTGAGGGCTGAATAAGAGAATGCCTGTAACATGCAGTCTCAAGCCCTTCCACACCACCCAGGCCATTCCGCTCCTGGATTGGTGCCTGGTGCAGATGAGGAACCCAAAGCCGGCTTCACCATGACTAGTCTGCAGTTCTCTGCATAAAGGAAAACAACATTCGGTCTGAATTTAGTAAGAAACCGAGTGCTCCTCCCCTCTTTTTAGGCAACGAAAATAGATGACACCCATTTTCTTTTCTGCCCTGTTGGCTAGGCGCTCTGGGCAAAATAACTGTTTGCAGCAACTGTCCCATCAAAAGGCTTTGGTGGTGAATGTAGAGGCAAAACTACCCCTGTTTGGGTCTCTGGCTGGGCCTAAGAATAAAATTGGCAGATACAGTTTGACAGTATAACTTAAGCTTAAGGCGCCCCTCATAAGAAAATGAAGACCCAAAGAAATGGCAAAATCTAAATGATTTTATATTAGGCTGAACAAAGAGAGGCAACTGTGAAACACTCACTAACATATATGGGGAGGCTAAAGGTAGATCAGAGTTATTTTCATAAGGTCTGTTTGCACAGAATTCTCTGATTTTGACTCCCCTTCTCTGGGAAAGTTTCTTCTTCACTGGCATAGAGAATCTTTATCGGCTGCTTTCAAGAAGGAAGGAGGTCTGGCCGGAGTGGCTCAGTGGTTGAGCGCTAGCCCATACACCATGTGGTCGCTGGTTCGATTCCTGGTCAGGACACATGCTCAGGTTGTGGGCCTGATCCCCAGTTCGGGCATGCAGGAGGCGGCCAATCAATGTTCTCTTCTCTCTCATCGATGTTTCTCTCTCTCTCCCTCTCACTTCCTCTCTCTCTAAAATCACTAGAGGAAAAAAATTTTTTTAAAAAGGAAGGGGGAAGGCCCGGCCAGTGTGGTTCAGTGGCTGAGCATCAACCCATGAACCAAGAGGTCACTAGTTCGATTCCTGGTCAGGGAACATGCTCAGGTTGTGGGCCAAATCCCCAGAGAGGGGCATGCAGGAGGCAGCCAAATGATGTTTTCCCTCATCGATGTTTTTCTCCCTCTCCCTCTCTCTCTCTCCTATCAATAAAGAAAAAAATTTTTTTTAAAAAGAAAGGGGGAGGTCAGAATGCTCTTCATATAGCTGTTTTTCAAATGCTTTTAGCTCAAAATAATCCTTATGCCAAAATGGTATACACTTTGGGGTGACATATTCTGTAACACTTCAGACTATTTCCCTTAGCCACATACTTTTTAAAAAACGCTTTGCTTTATGGTGCAGCCACTGTGGAAAACACTATGATGTTACCTCAAAAATTTAAAAATTGAACTGCCATTTGACCCAGTGATCCCACTTCTAGGAATATACCCTAAGAAACCTGAAACATCAATCAGAAAGAATATATGTACCCCTATGTTCATAGCAGCACTATTTACAATAGCTAAAATCTGGAAACAGCCCAAGTGTCTATCAGTAGATGAGTGGATTAAAAAGCCGTGGTACACTTGGTTGCAGTTTGTCCCCGGCCCTGGTTGGGTCGTGTGGGTGGCAACCACTCGATGTGTTCCTATCATGTCGATGTTTCTCTCTCTCTCTCTCTCCCTCCCACGCTCTCTGAACAAAATATCAAAAAGTGTCCTCGGGTAAGGATGGAAAAAAAAAAAAAGCCATGGTACATGTACACAATCGAATACTATGCAGCTAATAAGAAAGAAAGATCTCTTATCCTTTGAGATGGCATGGAAGGACCTGGAGAGTAGTATTACACTAAGCGAAACAAGCCAAGCAGAGAAAGACAAATATCACATGATCTCACTTATTTGTGGAATATAATTAACTAAACAAACTGCTGAACAAAATTAACCCAGAGACATAGAGGTGAGGTACAGACTGACAAGTCTCAGAGGGGGGGGGCTTTGGGGGAGAGATAAACCACACAACTTACGTGCATGTATGCATGACCAATGAACATAAACAACAAAGCTGGGGATGGAGCAGGCGGGCGAAAGGAAGAAGGGTGTCAATGGGGGAAAAATGAAAAACATCTGTAATAAAAACAAATTAATAAATAAAAAATTAATTAATTAATTAAAGAAACAAACAGCCCTGGCCGGTTTGGCTCAGTGGTTGGAGCATCGGCCTGCGGTCCGGAGAGACCCGGGTTCAGCTCCCGCTAAGGGCATGTGCCTCGATTGCAGTTTGTCCCCGGCCCTGGTTGGGTTGTGTGGGTGGCGGCCGCTCAATGTGTCCCTTTCACGTCGATGTTTCTCTCTCTCTCTCTCCCACTCTATCTGAACAAAAAACGGAAAAGTGTCCTCGGGTGAGGATAAAAATATAAATATTAAAAAACAAAACAAACACCGCTTTGCTTTATTTTTTGTTGTTGTTAACCCTCACCCGAGGATATTTTCCATTGATTTTTAGATTTTTAGATACAGTGGAAGGGAGGGAGGAAGGGAGGGTAAGAGAGGGAGAGAGAGACCGAGAGACAAACAAACATCACATGAGAGAGACACATGAATTGGTTGCCTCCTGCACGACCCTGACCAGGGCCAGGATAGAACCTGCAACCCAGGTATGTGCCTTTGACTGGGAATCAAACCTGAGAGAGAGAGACCCTTTGGTCCGAGGGCTGAAGCTCTAACCATTGAGCAAAACCGGCCAGTTTGTAATTATTTCAATAGTGATAAATTTCCCATGCACACAATTAGGAAAAGACAAAAGGTATTTTTTAAAAATTAAAATCATAATGCTACTAAAAAATTACCACTGTTAATACTTCAATATTATATATGGTAATTCCAATTTTTTAATATACATATATTTTAATAGGATTATACTTCATGCCTGTTTTATAACTGCTTTTCATTCACTTTGCTATATATTGTCATAATTTATGGGATCAATATTCTGCTGCTTCCAGTTTACTGCTATCATATCTGTATCTGTAAAGAAGAGACTTGTAAATATATCTTTGTGAGTAAGTAATAATGGCCCTGGATAGGTTGCTCAGTTCATTGGAGCATCGTCCCAATGTGCCAGGGTTTCAGATTTGATCCTTTGTCAAGGAGCATATAGGAGGCAGCCAATCAGTGAGTGCATGAATGGATGGAGAGGCAAGTCAAT